AAAAACAGGAATTGATTAATATTAAAATTTTACTTTCTTCCCCCCCCCCCGCTCACTTCTCAACCCAAAAATCAAACATGAAAAAATTATTATTATTATTATTATTATTATGCATTTAAAAAACAAAATAAAGTTTTAAAACATTAAAACCGCTTTTCCCGCGCGGCAGCCATTTTTAAAAATTCAAAAACAACAACAACAACAACAAAAGCAAATTTTTAAATACCAGAAGAGAGCCACGGCAACGCCCATAAAAAGCTGATGGTAGAGAGAGAGAGAGTTAAGCACTCTCCGAATGCAAAGGTCACCACCACCATGTTTTTTTTCTTTCTTTCTCACTCTCTCACACACTCTCTCTCTCTCTCTCTCTCTCTTTTTTACATGACGTAACTTTAAATGTTTTGAAACGAGTATTTTCTCGTGATATCGCTGGGACGTAATCAGTACCGGATCCTTACTTACTTACTTACTTGCTTGCTTGCTTGCTTTACTTTACTTTGCTCGACTCTCTAAACCGATAATCAAAAAAGATAAGATTTCTATTTAAATTTGAGTTTGCTACGTACGTATATATATATACTTCCTACAAACAAACAAACAAACAAACAAACAAAATGACACTCCGACCACCGCGATTCCGCGATTATTATTTTTTTAAATTACAACAAACGACAACGACAACAACCGAATGAGAAAATTAAATAAATTAAATATGGCGACGATTTTCATCAATGAATTCCCATCACTAATGATCGAATACTAATGATAATAATAATAATAATAATAATAATACCACGTGAATAAAAGTATGCTAGCTAGCTAGCTAGCTACCTATCTACCTCCTAGACAAAGTTTTTATTATTATTAATTAATTAATTAATTAATTAATCCCGATTTTCCGATTAAAACTCGGAATGAAAATTTCCCCCCTCCCCTCCCCCCTTATTACGGTGTCATAATAATAATAATAATTGGGGCTCGAGATGTTTGCTCGAGATGAAGCTAGCTGTAGTTTAACTAGGAAGCAGACGAAAAAAAAAAAAAAAAAAAAAAATTCTAATTATAGACTCTTAAAAAACTTCTAGTTGAATATATATAATAATATTATTTTTAAACATTTCGTGTTATCGTGGGTTGTGCATTTGTGAAAATTTCGTTTTTTTTTTTTTTTTTTTTTTTTTTTTTTCAAACAACCGGGAGACCCGTCCGCCATTTTCATTGCAAAAAAAATCCGCGTCCTTCGCGCGCGCACAAAAATACATAAATAAAAATAATAATTTTTTCTATTATTTATTTCCTTTCATAATTTATTTTAAAAAAAAAAAATAATAATAATATTAATATATATGCTAATTATTTACGTGGTAAAAACAATATCGGATAATAATAATAATAGTGAACGCTCGCTTTTTTTTTTTTATTAATAAATAAATTTATTTATTATTTTTTATTCTCTCTCTCTCTCTCTTTTAAATATTATCATTATCATTATTATTATTATTATTATTATTATTATTATTATGAATTTAAATGAGAGAACGAAAAACTTTCGAAAAAATCAGTCAACTGTGTTATAAAAAAAAAAAAAACATATTTTTACAATCGTGGCCAAAACTTTTCAATTATATATCTACTACAACGCATGCTTACGTTCTCTCTCTCTCTCTCTGTATTATCAAAATTTTAAAAATAAATAATATTATTAAAACATCGTCTGCAAAATTATTAATAATAATAATAAAAACATGTCAGGGGGATTGAATCGAGAGAGAAACACCACCACAACCACCACCACCACCATCATCATCATCATCATCATGTATCATTTAAATACAACAACAGTAATCATTAATGAAAAGAAAAGAAAAGAGAAAAATTAACAACAACAACAACAACAACAACAACAACCAACATTTTCTTCGACGAAAACAACAACAACAAAACTGTTTTTCCCTCTCTCTCTCTCTCTCTCTCTCTATTTATCTCTCTTTCTCTTTCTATTCAAAAGCGACGCAAAAAGCAAAAGTAAACTTTTTTTTTTTTTTTTATTTTTAGAGAGCAACTGGCGCTAACTTTTTTCTTTACATCAGAAAGAGAAAAAAAATTAAGAAAAAATTTAAATTTAAAACCAAGTAAACGTTTTTGAGGAGAGAATTTTACAATAAATAAAAAAATAAATAAATAGAAAAATAAATTACATAATATTTCACATTTCTATTCGATTATTCAGGTCAATCAAATAATAACCGATCGAATGGGTATTTTTTTTTTTTTTATCTCGAATAAAAAATTTTAAAAAAAATATAAAGAATAGGAAAAAAAAAAAAAAAAGAAAAATTTATAATTAGCATAAAATTTTAAATAATAATAATAATAATATTTCATTAGTAATTTGAAAAATCAATTGAAATTTTTTTTTTTTTTATATCATAAATTATTTTTATAAGAGGATTTGCATGTTACCAAAGTTTTTTAAAAAAGGGAGGGAAAGAGAAGAAAAAGGGGGGGGGGGAGAAAACTTTTTTTTTTTTTTTTTTTTTAATATAAAAACATGAAAAAACTTGAAAGAATTTAAAAAAACGACAAATCGCGGTGGTAGCTGTAAAATGTTTTTTTTTTTTTTTTTTTTTTTTTTTTATATATAAATTTAAATACTTCTTATATACTCAATTTCAACATTTATGTATTTACCAGATAGTTTTATAAGATAAAAAAAAAAATATTTTCAAGTAATTGTCATAAAAAAAAAAAAACATTTTTCCTCGAGTTTGAACATAGTTTGGCCTAAAATCATCTAAATTCCTCATTCCCGCCATTTTGCTCTTGCAAATTTCTGTACTTTATCAATAATTCACTCTCTATTATAAAAAAAATTATAAAAAATGAATAATTTTATACGGCACGAATAATGATAATAATAATAATAATTTCTCCCTTTTCTATCAAGTACAAGCAATTTTTCCGTACCAAATATTCCGTAACACTTATCAAACCGTTTATGCATGCATATGTATAGAGGGAAAATCGTGGACTGGAAGTCATGGAGGCTACCACGGACAAGATAAATTCGATATTACGAAAAAAGACGACGAGGTGAAAAAAAAAAAAAAAAATTTCCTTCCCCTAGTTTTCTAAGGTAAAGGATTGAGGAACTAACGACGACGACTCCCCCCACACACACGCCCCCTCCCTCCCCTCTCCCCCCGTAATCACCTCGCAAATATATTTTAAAAAAACGTTCGTGCGACGAAAAAAATAAAAAAAAAAAATAAATAAATAAATATGACTAAATCTTTTTTCAGATGTTGTCAAGACGACATTTAGTAGTACTAGTACACAACAAATATTTTACATTCCAAACTTGTTCGCAACTAGCATGCAAAATGGTGGAGAATACACACTAAACAAAAAACCACTTTACGATTAGTCGTCGTCTCTCAACGGCTTTATATTTATAAAGTCTACTCTTCCATCACGTCCAATTTTTACTTAATATTAATAATAATGTTAATAATAATAATAATAGAAATTACTTACTTTAAATAATAAATCTGCCCCTGAGACGTTCTCGCTTGTTCCCATCCTGGAGGCAATGGCCCAAGTTCATCTACCACCGTAGCACCCATGTCGTAACTCCTCTGTTTGATGTGCGTGTGAACTCCTTGTGGAGCTTGAGGCGGATTTTTTTGCTGAGCGGAAGCATAGGTTTGCTGGAGAGAAGCTGGAGAACTGTGTGCACGAGGATGATTCACCTTCAAAATTGACAAAGAAAATCATTAATATTATTAGGTACCCATTACCCTTCCCACACATACCAAAACGATGCCTTTCGAACTTGCTAATCGATATCAAATTGGTAATTAAAAGAGAGAGAGAGAGAGTATGTTTTCATTTCCAAAGCAACCACTCGACACAATACGATTATTCACTATACTATTATTATTATTATTTTAATATGTTTTGAACCTTTAGAAAAACAAGAAAACAACAACAACAACAAAAGTCAACAAACGAGATAAATTGTAATTTTTTTTATTTAAACCGTGTCCATGATGTTTCGGTTTACGTCCCCCGTATGTATTTTCTCCCTCCCCCCCCTCGATATAATTCCTGTGGAAAATCATTTGAATCTTTTTTCAAAACAATTAACTCGGGAAAAAAGTGCGATAAAAAAAAAAAATGGCGGAAGAATTGGAAAAAAATTAAGAATCAACTACCCTAAGCTACCCTCGAAATTTTTCGATACTCGAGTTGAATGACCTTTACAAATAAGGCCTTATTCTTTCCATTTTGTTTCTTTCGGTGGATATGAAATTTACAAAAAAAAAAAAAAAAAAGTCACAAACCTCTTCTCGAAAATTCTGTCGAAAATATTTTTTACGTTTGTCATTCATTATAAACGAACAACAAAATGTTGTCGACTCTGCCAAGAATAGAAGTGAAAATTTTTCGTTACACGGTCGGTTATTTATTGAAAATTCGAATCGGGAAACTTTATACAAAAAATACGACATCCATTTATAATTATTCGTAAATTAAAAAAAAAAAAAAAAATGGCGTGCGATCTGAGTAACTCGCTCGCTCTCTCTCTCTCTCTCTCTCTCTCTCACTCACTCTTTGGCCATATATCCAGTTTTATTATGAAAATGTACATAGGTATATGTACTCACCTGAAGGCTTGCCGGAGTTGTGTTTGTTGAAAAAGCAGCATCTGCCGAATTTTCACGACTGTGAGATATACTAAGAACGGAAGGTGACTTAGAACCGGTAGATGGTGGAGTAAAGAACGAATCGGGGAGATTTCTCATATGCCAAGGCACTTGTAAAGGCCGTTTTGAATCTGGTTTTAAAACACTGTCAAATAACGCTTGCAAGTCCGATTCAGAATTTTGAACGATACGAACATGATTATCAGAATTACTAGGTTTATTACTAGAATTTGAATTATTATTGCTGCTGCTATTGCTATTATTATTATTATTATTGTTGCTGTTGTTGTTGTTGTTGCTGTTGTTGGCGTTATTATTATTATTGCTGCTATTACTGTTACTACTCTCCCGACCGCTATTGCTATTGCTACCACTGCTATTATTATTGCTGCTGCTTGTATTATTGTTATTACTCGGATTTGAATTACCGCTTGGCATTTTTTTCATTTTTGACGTTTTATTTCCAACTTGAATATTTAAAAAAAACACTAATAAAAATGCATTATATTTTTAAATTCAAGGTCATTCATATTACTATACATTTAATGGCAAAAAAAAAAAAAAAAAACAACCGTAAGTACTCTGGACGGATTATGATTAAATATATAACCAAAAAATTTTTCTACAATTAAACAAAACTTTAAATAAAAAACCAACAATTATAAATCAAAACCGAATAGTAATAATATTAATAATAATAAAAATAAAATAATAATAATAATAATAAGAAAAAAAAAAAAAACAATTTAAAAAGTAAAAGTAACGATTAACACTACGACATGTAAGTGTCGACGTCCGCTAGGAACTGTGGGATCGCTAAATTGTTTAGATTTGAATAGACACAGCCTTGTTTAGGAATGTTCATGCGCGCGCATGATTTCAAATGTGACGCGGGAGAAATGTCAGAGAGATTTCTTTTCTTTTTCTTTTTTTTTAAATAAATAAATATTATTCGACGTGAACTTAAATTACGAGGGCGACGCAATATTTAATTAAATATTATTAAAAATAAATTTATTAAAAAAAAAAATTTTAATAAAACCCCCCCCCCTTCCTTTTTTTTTTTTTTACCTTTCCCGACGATGATTTTAAAAAAAAAATAATTTTTTTTACGATGTTTTGCATTATAATGAAAAATTATTAATGGAAAAAGAGGGAAAAAAATATAACGAGTCAAAAAATATTATTTCATTATTAAACATGATTTTACACCTGTTCGAAACATTCAAACACTTGTTGCATTTAAAAGTAAATATTTCAGGTAGTTACATAAACTTGCACCCATAAGATAAATATATAAAATTACGTCCAGTTTGTTTATTTAAATTTAAATTTTTTTTTTTTTTTTTTAGAAAGAATTGTCAGAGTTTTAAGCTTCTCCAATCCCTGTTAACAATTTGTATGTTTTAAACTGATTTTGATATCATAAACAGACATGTGTCGTCAGGACGCCTTAAAATATTTTTTTAAAGAACCTTATTCGTTACCATAAAATTTAATTAAAATTTGAAAACAAATTTATAACTATAATGATATATTTTATACAAGTTATTTAATAGATAAATAATTTAATAGATAAACGTTTGATTGTTATCATGGATAGTCTTTACGGATTGGACAGTGGAATTTTTTTCGAAAACACTAGGGTTCGTTAATTAATTTTTTCTTTTAATAATCTTATTTAGCATTATTTAAAAACGTGCATATCGATTGTTCTTTACTTTTTTTCCTGTTTAAAAAAATTGTATAGTTTATACTCACTCAAAAGAGTATACACATAAAACAAATTATATGTTAAGGTGAAACTTGAAAGTCTTCAAACCATTTGCATTTGTATAGTTTCGTTATTAGAATTTCGTTTGTCAGGTGTTTTTTTTTTTTTTTTTTTATGAGATAAAATTTTGTACTATACCCCTTACACAATCGTTTTAAAAATTTGATACTATACTTTGAATTTCTTAAAAAACTTTTTTTATATCAGATGACAGAAAAGAGAAAAGGTAACCTGATATCACATGAGTATTTATGCAAAAAGTGCAAAATTAAATAAAATAAATTACTAATATTTTTTAGATGAAATTATTAAAAAAAAATTAGAAAAAAATGTAGTTTATGTTTTTTCAAAAAATAAATTACCTTTTCAAAAATCTCAATTATCACCTATTAAATATTATTCACATATTAATTATAAATATTTGAATTTTCAAAATAGTATTAATACCATTAACAAAACTATATTCGAGGTAAGTTTTTTTAATGACTTTTATTAATTTTTTTAATGGTATGTAATGAAATATAATAATAAATTGTTCTTTTGAAATTTTTTTTTTTTATTGTTTACTCATAAAACAATAACTTTAAGTAATTTTAATATTACAGTTGAGTTTTATTGGAAAAGATTGTCAAAAAATTCCACCGATAATTTTAAACAAATATGGACCAAGAGTAAATACCTTAGATCTTAGTTTTAATAGTTTGACAACATTACAAGTAAGAATTTTATATATTTTCCAGAAAATTTTTCAAATTTTTATAAATGATGAACATTATTTAATTATTTGTTTCAGGGTATAGAATTTTTTTTTCATTTAAAAGAACTTATTTTAGATAATAATGTTTTATCTGACAATATAATTATACCAAAGATGCAACATTTGCAAACTCTATCGATTAATAAAAATAAGGTTTGTTTTTTAAAACAATCTTATTGTTATCATTATTACATTATTATATTAACAAAAATATATATTTTTATAGATAATTAATTTAGAACTTTTTCTTCATAAAGTTCAAGAAAATCTTCCATCTTTAAAATATTTAAGTTTGTTAGGAAACAAGGCTTGTCCCAATCAACTTTCCGACATCACAAAAGATGAAGATGATTATAAAAGATACAGGTATTGTACACCTGTTGTAATATACTTTCATGTTGCCCAGTTTTGAATCAAGAATTAATTTTTTCAGGTATTATGTTATCAATCAACTTCCAAAATTAAAATTTTTAGATTCTACACCTGTTACCAAAGAGGAGAGACAAGAAGCTGAAAGAAGAGGGCACTTGATGAAAATAGCCAAACCACAAAATGTAAGCGGCAGAAGGATTTTATCAAGTTTTGTAGATTTTTTTTTTCCCCCCCGTGATAATTTTTTAATTTACAAAATAATTTTTAGAAGAATCAAGAAGATGAAATATACTTTTCTCAGTCAACTGAATATACTCCTTTGCCGAAAACAAAAAGAACAACATATGATCATCAAGGTTATTATAACACAAATAAACCATCAAAATCTTGTATTGTTTTTTAAATAAATTAACTGTTTTAGGTGCCTATGGAAAATGCAAATATAGATATTCTGGTAAACACTCTGAAGGAAATAGATTTATTCAAAACAATGACCTTTGATAAGAAATCAATTTTATAAAATATTTTTTAAAAAAATTTCTCCTTATTAAATCAGTGTTGATCGATAATGTAAAAAAAATTTATAGATTATTAGATACTTTATATTAATTATTTAATTATTATAATAAAAATTAATTAATTATCATAATTCGTATTATTATTATTTTTTTTTTAATTTATCCTATACTCACTAATAAGATTTTTTTTTTTAAATTTCACTGTTAGTAAACGCATATATTTTTATTTTGTGATGTTGCATAATAATAAGAATTTATTTAATGGCGGGAAAATAAATTATTGTCATAAATTATTTAACACGACTGGTTTTTTTTTTTCCTTCTTACATAAATATATATAAAATAAATCAGTTAATAAAATTTACGCAGAAAGTTTATATTTTTTATTGATTAACCATTAGTAGTTATAATAGCGTTACACAAATTAATGGACTTGAAAAAAACTTGAGAGAAATGAGGTTGCCAAAGGAAACTTTAAATTTACATGCTGTCAAAGGTAACGAAATAAACAGTCAAGTTGTTTTACATTCTCCATTTTATTTAAACTAATGAGTAGTTCATATTAGAAAGAAGAAGTGAAAAAATTTTTTTTGTAAATTATTAAAATGAACACTCAATCCACCGGTAAGTTTTTTTTTAAAAATTATTATTCTGCCTCAAAAAAAAAATTATATCCCAAATATAAATTATCGAAGATAAAAATTATTTACGTGCAATTTTTTTTTTTTTTTTTTTTTTAATATTTTTTCCGGCTTAGAAAAATTGTCAGTTTTTAAAAAAATAATTATTATTTATAATTATTAATAGTTTTCAAAAATTACCATAAAAGTATTCAAATTATTTATTTAAAATTATTACCTTTATGATTTATTTACTTTTTTCTATATTAAAAAAAAAAAAAAAAAATACTAAAATGGCGTTTTGATATGTTCGTTCTTGGCATTTATTATATATATATATATATAACGTAATTATCAAATTGCATTGTTTATACTTATTTAATGTTTATAACTTAATAATATATCCCTTATAATTTATATTTTTTATTCTATTTTATATAACAATCATTGTAATTACAAGTTATTTCATTATTAAATCATAGGTATTAATTTTTTTTGACAATTAAAATCATAAAGTCTCTCTCTCTCTCTTTATGTATAATATAAATAATTAATTTTTAATTCATATTGACTTTATTTTAGTTGTTGGGGGGGGGGGGCGGGAAATAATTTTAAAATGTGTAATTTCCTTTTATGTATGACATAATATTTAACTATTTTGCGTTGGAGTTAAATTTCCATTGTGATATTTGAGTTTTATACTAACTATACTTATTTATTTGTAGTTATTAAAATTTTTTTTTTTACCCTTTCCCACCATTATATCTAATCATCACATTGTATATAATTTCAATATTAAAGTTAGTTAGTTACTTTATACTAAAAGAAAATAATCAACTCACAAAATAATTAAATTTTCCTGAAAGAAAAAGAAAATTTCCTTAAAAATATGTTTTTACTTAATCGAATAGAAAATAATTTTTTCACTCGACTGAGTTTTTAAACTGTTAATTTAAAAATTCAATCCTAAAAATTTAAATATTAAAATATTAACAATTTGCATTTAAGTAAAAAAAAAAAAAAAACTTATTTATTATTCGCCTCCCCTCTCCCCCCCCCCTCCCACTTTAATACAAATTGACTTAGTGATAATTTTTCTTATTTAAAACTGTTTTTTTTAGTAAAACCTACGAATTCGACGTTAAATAAATAAATAAATAAATAAATTACACCTAATAATTCTCATTTTGTTTAAATATTTATTTTTTAGCCATTTTTAAAATTATTTAACTGAAAAAAAATTTTATTATTATTATTTTTAAATATCGAACAATCTTTTAATGTGTGTGAGTGAGTGATGTCAAAAAAATAATTATAAAAAAAAAAATAAAAATTCAACTTGTGTGTATATTTTGGACCATAATAATTATGTTATTAGTTAGTGTGTTTGTTGTTGTTGTGTTTGTGTTTGTTGTGATTGTTGTTGTTTTTTTAAACATATTCTTTTTGTATACCTTATTTTTGTTTTATATACTTACCTTACGTTCCGGGTTTAAATTTCTTGGAAGTGTGTCTTGGCCAGTTGAATTTGAAACGTGGCATACATTCTTCTTAGTTTTGTTAGTTTTTTTTTTTTTTTTTTTTTTTTTTGTTTCAGTTTATTTATTTATTTACTTATTTTTTAAAATTAATATGTGTTATAATTTTTTTTTTTTTTTTTTTTTTAAATAAAAAGTTTTTAGTGGTGTCTTATTACATATTGAAAAATTTAAATTAATACTTACTTATGTTTTTTTTTGTTCCCATAAATTTGAATGTAGTTTAGTGTAACAGTGTGGTACCTGAAAAAAAAAAAAAAAAAAAAAAAGAAAAATATTTTTTTAAAGCTTGTGCGTGTGTGGGGTGTGTGTAGATGAAAAAAAATGAATGATTTAAAAGAATCGCCCCCCGATTTGAAAAATGATGGCATTAAATCATTAGAAAATTTAAAAATAAATAATCATACCGTCGATGATGATGATAATGATGATGATGCTGATGATAAAGTATCATTCGTTGAAGATTATGAAAGTTTAGAATTTGAAGATATATATTCATTTGTGTGTTCGACGGTTACACCGAGTTTTGATGAAATACCTGAAATAGAAGGTTCAAAATTTAAAAAATCCAAATAATAAATAAATATTTGAAAATTTTTTTTAACTTTTCTTTCTTAACTTGAGTTAGGTTTAAAAATTTTGTTTAAGTTGCTGATTTGATTAGTAGTAGTAGTAGTAGGGAAATGTTAAAAGTTAAAAAAAATTTTCAAATCGTTTAAAATTAAAAGCTCGTGTGTAAATTATTTATTATTATTTATTATTATTATAATTAAAGTACAAAATTGTTCAGAATTTAATGATGATGATGATGATGATGATACGCCATTATGGATTATCGGAGAACAAGTATATAATGAATTTTCATGGTCTGATTCGGATGATCAATCTGATATTAATTTCGATGTAAATGTAACGGATGTGAAAAAAAATGATGATCAACGTAGTAGTAGATAATAATAAAATAAAATTTTTTAAAATAAAATCTGGAAACATTGTTAAAAAAATAAGATTAAATTTAAACGATATAAGTGATTATTTTAATAAAGTTAAAAGACGAGAAAATTATAAAAAATTATTAAAAATAATTAAAGAATTAGCCGAGAAAAAAGGTACAATTTCAAGTGTTTCGATTTTATCGATAAAAAAAAAAAAAATGGCGGGGAAGGGAAAGGGAGAGAGCCATTGATAAAATATTGTTGAGAGATGTGAAAAAAATATTTATCAAATTACAATTATTTTTTTCTTTTTGCAGCTAATTCCGAAAATAAATTGCCTTCATTGAGTTCATTAGATGATTCAGAACTTCAAGGTATGACAGAAGAAGAAAAAACAACTCAAAGACAATTATGGCAAGAGGAATTAGCTAAAGTTAGTTTTATTATTATTATTATTATTATTATATTAAAATTTGTGTTTTCTGGCAGTAATGAATATCATCATCATTATCATTTTAATTTTTTTTTAATTTTAGATCGAAGAAGAAATTCAAACGTTGAAACAAGTGCTTCAATCAAAACAGAGAGAATCTCAGGAATTGAAAAAAAAATTAGGTATAACTGTTTGGAAAGAATTAACAGATGATTTTAGTCAAGGAGTGAGAAACGTCAGGGAATCCAACGTGTAAGAAAATTTATTAATTAATAAATCTATTAATATATATATATATATTAACCTAATTACAGATAATTATTTTAGGTGAGATTGAATTTAAAATAAATTTTTTATTTGTTTTATTTGTTTTTCCTATATAAATTAAAATTTTCCCCCCCTTGTTTACTTGTTATATACCCCCCTTATTTTATTGAAAAACAGTTATCAAAATGTTGAAGAAAAAATATCTCAGTGGGGGGAAAAGTGTAGCTAATGCTCCAGTGTAAGTAAAAATAATAATAATAATAATAATAAGGAAATGTAGGAATCAATGACAGGAGGAAGGAGGAAGGAGTCAAATGACTCAGGAGTATTGTTTATAAGTAATCGAAGAAGGTTTAATTTAATTTAATTTTTTTTATTTTATTTTAGATATCAAAAGACTGAGTCCGCCGTGAAAGCTACTGCAGAGAGCACACGCTCTCTTATTGGGGGCCTTACAGAAGGTTTCACTCAAAAAATTGGACAATTAAAAAATTCAGAAAGTTTCAGGTCACTCGAAGAAAAAATGGGTTCAGCCTATGAAAATGTGAAGGTTACTAATCATTTATATTTATTTAATAAATTTCAATTATTAAAATATTGTTCTGATTTGTTGAAAAATTAAATGTGGATGAAATAAAAAATTATTTTTTATTAAAAAAAAATCACATCTTATCGGTGGTGGTGTAAATTAATAATTTATTTCAGACAAAAATGTCATCATCCAGATCGAATTCAATTCAAAGTTTTAATGAAGCACTTTGTCAAGAAACTGGTGTCAAAAATATCACACCAACAACTCCTACCATTCCAGAAGGTGAATCATTGTCTTAGAAATCAAAAGATGGTGGGACCAGTTAATGATTTTAAAATGAATTATTTTTTATTCAGTGAGAAAACACATAGTAAAACATAATTCATATGTTACAAAATGAAAAAAAAGTTATAATTCTTAACTATCATCCTTACTTGCACCCCAATTTTTTTAAAAAATGCTATTATTAATAAGATATTTTAAATAAAGTCTTAAAATAAAAGAAGAAGGAGAAAAATATGTATAATCCAAGTGATGCTTAACTTATTTCTGTGATTTTGTTTCTCTTGATACTATTAACTTAAAAAAAATATGTGTTTAAATTACAAAAGTTAAAATATTCAAATTTTAATCATAACATTTAACACACAAAGTTAAATACTTTTAATAATAATAATAATAATAATACAATTGAAAACTATAAATAATACTGTTAAATAAAAAACATTTTTTTTTATATATATAATTTATGTAGTTTTTTTATTTCGATAAAAACCTGATTTCCTTAAACTTATAGAATGTGGAATAAGGATAAGTAATTTTAATTTGCCATTTTTTAAAACATTTCATGGGAATTAACAATTTGGCAATGTTGCCTCCTCCTTAAAACTTTTACTTCCTTCAAAATTCAATCATTGAAATAATAGAAAGTAAAAAAAAAAAAAAGAAATTTTAAATAAATGTTGATATGTGTTGTTGTTGTTGTTATTGTTTTAAATTTTTGAATAATTGTTTTCTTCTCAATCTTTTTAAGTTTAGGCTATATAGATTAAATTGTAGCAATTTTTAAAAAAAACGAGTTTAATTGTAATTAAATACGTTTACTTAAATTTTTTTTTTTTTTAATCAAAAAAAGAATAAATTTAATTGTTTGTGAATTTTTTTCTAAAAAAAATAACGTTCATATAAAACCCCCATATAAAAAATGACGTGGTGGCAATTTTCAAAATTTCTACCACCACTTTAACTAAATGTCAAACAAAAGACTGCGTCACGAATAATGAACTAAATTTTTCAGGTATTAGTTTGTCAAAGTAAGTAACTTGGAAAAAATGTTTTGAAATTTAGAAAAACAATTATAAATATATAAAAGTAATTATTTTATTTTACCGTAAATATTTTTTAAAAATACTTTTCGTTATTAATGACTACAATCAAAACATAAATTGAATATTTAATTGGGTTTGATTTGAATATTTAAAAAAAAAAAAAAACTATTTGAGTTTTTTAAACTTGTCACATACTGTTTTTACTGTTACTTTTTTTTTTTTAATTATAATAAATATCTTTTAAAACCGTTTTTAAACTGTACAACACATATATCAATAAATACATATGGTTGTTTTTTGATGTTCATTTATGTATACATATGTAATTGATATTTGTCTTTTATTAAAATTTTTTACATTAGAATCATGCCTGAATCAAAAGAAGATATCATTGCTAATTTGAGAGCTATTATTATATCTAGTAAAGGAGGACTTTTATTATCTGAAATTGATGGTAAGTTTTTAATTCTTTCATGTTAAATTGTGTCTTTGTAAAAGTTATTTTTGTTTTAAATCTGATTTTTGTTTTAAACATGGGGTTAAATTTAATTTTATATTGTTTATTAGGAGATTACAAGGAAACATTTGGCACTAATGTTCCATTTAAAGATTTAGGATTTAATTCATTGGAAGAATTTTTAAAAAATGATAATGATAATTTTCATGTAATCGGAACGAGAGTTGAAGCAGTCGCTAAACCAGCATCATTACACATTTCTTCTTTAGTTAGTAAACAAAAAAATTCTAAAAAAAGTGGCAGATCAAAATTGGTGAGTTTATTTTTATAAAAAAAAGAAAAAACTCTCAATATGTAATTTGAAAAATTGATCATTTTTCAATCATGACACGCTTTTAGTCGAGCAGAGGAGTTCAAAATTTGAGAAAACCTGCAAATCTTTCCAATGGAAATTCACAATGTAAAACGATTAAAAAGGGAAAGTCAATAGAAAAGGGAAGTGATAATGTTAAAGAAGATTGTAATGTTGTAAGTTGTTTCTCTATAATTAATTGTTAATAATTATTTGTTGTTGTTATTAATAATAATTATGTTATGTTAATAAAAAAGTTTTTTGTACAGAACTTACCATCATCTTTAAAGCAGCTGACGGTGGACAATCGAAATGCAATATCAAGCTCTTTGAAACCTCCTGTGAAAAAAAATCCTAAAACAGAAAAAAATAAAAATTCAGAAAATATCAAAGCAAATAATTTAGATGTGAAAAAATGTTCGCAACCATCCAAAAATAATGTGCCTTTATTTACTAACAGATCTGAAATGAATAATTATGTTCCATTTGAAGACATAAAAGATTTCACAGAAAACAATTCACCTAAATTTTATTCTAGAAACATACAATTATCATTACAAAATTATAACAACAATTACCAAAGCATTTCGAATAAAACTTCAGATCAAAATGTAAAATCTTTAAGTTCACCATTTAAAAGATCTTTAACTAATAATTCTCAACATGAAATTATGTTAGCAAAAAAATCAGCAACTTCGTTAATTAACACGGAAAATACTCCTCGGCCGTTGAATAAAGAATCTCAGACGGTAAAAAAGGAATCATACGAACAATTATTAAAAGAATTTTGCGTTGAAAAAGGATTGATTATGCCGATTTACTCCATTAGCGAAAAACAAATAAGTAACGAATTGAAATTTTACACGTGTAATTTAACGATCGGCGATGGATTTAAAATTTCCACGCATCCCGTGGAAACTCGTACGGAAATGGATGCGAGAGAAAGAGCATCGGAAAAAGCATACAATCATCTCGCGTCTTCCATTAATAAACTTCCTAGTTTTTTATACGATTCGGAAAATGTTATTAAATTAAGAGATTTATGTACGGAAAAAAATTTACAACAACCCGTTTTCAAATCTATCGAATGCAATCCGAAAAACGAACCCAAATATTTTATATGTAAAGTCCACGTGGGAAAGGATATTTTACTTTCGTCTTATCCAACGGAAGCTAAAGATGAATTTACGGCGAGGGATTTGGTTGCTAAAAAAGCCTACGATCATTTAAACGTGTTAAATAAATCCGTAGTGAAAACGTCGAAAAATTTAAATTTAGTTTTAAGTCAATTATTCGATTTAGTCAAATCAAAAAATTATGGCGTTTGGTGCAATAAATTACCCAGCTTGTATTTGGAAACGTACAAAGAAGAATTACCGTCCGATTGGTTCGAACTAGTTAAAAATTGTTCGAAATTTGAAATTTCGAGCATTCCCAGAGTGGGTCACATAATACGAGTTCAAAACAACATGGAAACAATGCCCAAATTGTCCGGATCTTTGGAATTGGCTAAATTAAAAGTTCCAGAATCGAATCAGTGGGAGGTTTATATCACGAATGTCGTTTCATCCGCTAAAATTTGGTGCAGATTAATTGGTAAAAATTTCAGCGTAAGTGTATTAAAATAATAATAAAAAAAAAATGTTTTGTTAGAAAAAACTTACCTTAAAGACGTTTTTTATTGTAATTTTCCCCCAAAACAGGAAATTTACGATTCGATGATGACGAAACTCGAATTACAACCTCCGACTTTTAACGTGAGTTCTCCAGTCGTCGGAGAAATTTATTTGATTAATCTCGAAGAATCATGGAATCGCGTTAGAGTTCTGGACACATCGTTGGAAAACGACGAAATTTCCGTTTTTCTCATCGACGTCGGACTCGATGAAGTCGTTAAAAAATCTCAACTTTTTTACCTGCAAGAAGAATTTTTTTCTGTTGCTCCTCAGGTACTCGGAAGTCGTCGTTTGAGTACAAAAAAAATTCATACCTGAAATCATTTAAATAAAATTATAATTTTAGGCTATTTTATTATCGTTAAACGAATTGGATTGTTTATCGGGCTGCGAAGAATTACATTTGGCTCTCATGCATTCGTTACTCGGTAATTCGTTCATAGCGGAAGTTGTTGCAATATTAGACGGAAACGGAAATACATGCAGCGTGAATTTGTGGGATACGTCAACAGACGAAGATGTTAATATTAATTTGAGACTTTTAGATGACGTAACAAAAATTTTTAAAAATCCATCTTTACCAACGGTAATATATAAAAATTAATTAGAATTAATTTTTGAATACAAAAAATTAATTGAAATTTTTTTTTTTTTTACCTATAACTTCAGATTGGAATCGTCGAAGAAATGTTTGTATCGAACGTAGATGATTCTGGAAATATTTATCTTCAAGTTAGTAAGGAAAAAATAATTTTTTTAGAAAATATTATATCGATAAAAATGAAAAATTCCGGATCGCATACGTCCATTATCAATAAGAAAATTGACCCGAATAAACTTTACGTCACTCGGTAAATTTAAAAATGAATTTCCAATCAAAACAAAAAAAAAAAAAATTCATATTATTTGAAAAATTTTCCTTTTTCCTTTGTAGGAGTCATAAAACGGGATTGTATTATCGATCGAAATTTTTAAAAACTTTAAATCACGATAAAGTTTTGGTTAAATTTATCGATTACGGTTGCGAACAGGAAACTTTCATATCGGATTTATTGGATCTCGAACGTACGTCTTTTGATTTGGCAACCATACCATCGCAAGCCATTTGTGTACAACTTGCGTGTACGAAATCTCTCACCGGGAGAGACATGGTCAAAATTCGGGATCTCGTTTTGGAACAAAACGTTTTGGTCAAATTGGCAAACATTCCAAAGGATTCCAAACCGACCGTCGTAGAATTACTCAAACGTTCCCAATCGGATGGAACTCTTTCATCCGTTAATAAAATAATTAACGAAAGCAGCAGCACCACAAGTCAAACGTTGTTGGATCCACCATCGAGGAAAAAATCCTACGTCGTCAGTTTGGAAAATACACTGTCGAGAAATTTACCCACCCCTAATATTCCGCCCGAGGGAAGTTATTTTAACGTTTTTGTAACTTTGGCAGCTCATCCGGGATTGTTTTGCGTGAGTCATTCATTCACCTAATTTATTTTTTGTTTTACCCCCTTTAATAAATCCGTTAATAAATTTATCAAAAATTAAGGTACAACCTTTGTCAACTCAAAACGAACTCATGGAACTCATGTTTCGACTACAAATGAAATGCGATAAATTGTATTCGAAACCCTTGCCCCCCGAAGAATTCAAAATAGGAGAACTTTATGCGGTGAAACATCCCGATAATTTTTGGTACAGGTACGAAAAAAAGGAAAAATTTTTTTTTTCTCATGCCTTATTAATAAGTACCTTAAAAAGCATAAATTTTATTTTCAGGGCCTACGCACAAGCGTTTACCGGCTCTTCGTCATTTATCGTTTATCTTTGCGATTTTGGAGATTTCATTGAAACATCGGCGGAAAAATTGATGCATTTGTCCAGCGAATATACTACTCTTCCATATCAAGCCATTCGAGCCTATTTGGCAGGTAATTTTTAAAGAACTAAGGTTCTGATTGTAATACCTGCTTGTCGCATTCCCACAAAAGCTTAAATTTAAATTTACATTTACTTACCACTGATAATTTTCCAGGGATTTCACCGTTGGAAAAAGACTGGCCTGCCATCGACTGCGTATACTTTCGAGAACTCGTTGTGGAAAAATCATTCGTGTCTCGGATAGTGGAAATTCGTAGAGACGTGGAAAATCCCAATTACATGACCTTGGGTTTAACATTAGTCGATACGTCAACGACTAATGATGTTTACATCCATGAGTTGCTGGTGGAAAAAAAAATGGCTGCATTAAAAAAATGTTAAAATAAATTTAATAAAAACAATTAAGATTAAATTTAAAGCCAAAAACAAATTTAGAATAATTTAATTCGAGATGTAAGACTTGAAAATTTGTTTTTTTTTTTTTTTTTTGTTAAATTTCCTTCCTTAAGGTTTTTGGGGAAAGTAAAAAAAAAAAAAAAAAAAAAAACATGGACTAGTCGTTTTTTTCTTCACAGTATTTCATTACATTAAATTCCGTTTTAAAAAAAAAATTTATTATTATTATTATTATTAATTGTTAAAAATTATTTTTCCACTAGTTAATATTTTTATATATATAATATTTATTTTTATTTTTTTTTGTTAAAATTCATTCGCAATTTATTATTTTATGGAATGAAAATTTATTAATAAATTTAAATAAATTATGTTAAAATAATTATTAAATAAAAAAAAAAAGTTATTTAGTTTTTATTTATTACTTTATGGTTTTAAAGGTTTTTTTTAAAATGTTACTAATTAATAATATTTTATTATTGTTATTTAATAAAAAAAAATTCTAATATTATTTGTTTGTTTTGTGTATATTAAAAGGTATTTTTTTTAAATTATATAAATTGTTAGTTTGGAAAAGAAAAACCCCCCAATTTTTTTTTTTTTTTTTTTTTGTTCAGTTGGTAATTGTTAAATGTTTAATGAACCATATTAAGGTAGAGGGTAAAATTTAAAAAAAAATCAACCGAAAAAGAAAGTAACGATTTTTATACAAACCAAACCACAAAATTATATGGGAAAAACCGCAAAGTACGATTTGTACGGATGGAAAACTTTAATTCATAATAATAATAATAATAATAATAATAATAAATTTAGAAAGTTTTTACGGTTTTTTTTTGTTCAGTAGCAAGAAAAAACTAAACATTTCGAACAAATTTTTTTTTTTTTATTTTCATTACTGTACAATTTTATTTAATGTTTAAAAACATTAAAATCGATCAAAAAATATATGGTTTTATTTTTTTCTAAACTAATAATATTAAATTGCAATAATTTAATTAAATTTATTATTATTATTATTATTTTTGTTGTTTTTTTGCGCTAAATTGTATTATTGCTTTTCGTTAAATTTTTTAAATTTATTTATTGTTTTTATTAATTTTATTTTATTTTATTATGAAATGTTAATTTTTTTTTTGGTCAAATATAATTTAATTATTATTATTATTATTATTTTAATTGTTTTTTTAATTTTTTTGCTACCTGAAATAACCCGGATTTGGCTGCTCAAGTGGAAAATAAAATAAGAAAATAATTATTTGGAAAAAATTTATTAATAATTTTTTTTTTTTTTTTTTGTGTTTCCCTTACATATTTAAATTTGATTTAATAATTATAATAATAATAATAATATTAATAAAATTTATTAATTTTTAAATGATAAATCATCTTGACAGCATTGACATTTACGATAATAAATTTTTCTAGAAGGTACTATGTAATTTTGTATTAACGACACCATAGGATTTAAATATTTGATCAACGGAAATTTACTCCATCCGGAATCTAATGCGATGGCACAATGACACACCATTAAAAACGGATTCGATATTTTTTTCGATAAAAAATCACGTAGCATAACATAATAAAATAATTTTGATGTAAATGGAATATATGCTAATAATTTCGATATCCGGCTACGACGATTTCGATTCAATATGTTTTCGTTGGATCTCGAAGAGGAATTATGTGTTAAACTCCTTAAAAACTTTAATAAAATTACATGGGATTGTGAGTGATCATCAACCGTTCTTCTCACTTCCGGTTCATCGATAATTTCATTATCATCTATTTGATTTTCAATTGATTTGGCCTGTTTAAATGCTGTGAATCTGTAATATTTGATCTGTTGGAGGATTATATGAATTAACTTAACTAATCACTACATATTAATTGAAATTTGTTGTTTTTTTTTCTTTTCATTTCGGATAAGAATGCGATTAATCGATAAAATGATATGAAAAATACCTCGACATATCGGAAACGATATCAACTAAATCAGCAGTGCTTTGTATCCGTTCATCTGATTCCGTTTCCGGTACCGGTCGTTGTGGTGTTAATTGTAAATTTATAATTGCGGTATATGTAAAGGAAAAAGTCAATGATAAAAGTTCACCCAAAAGTCTTGCAGTCTATTTAAAAAAAAAAAAAAAATTTAACCAATGTTAATTTTAATAATTTTTATTCAATCAATGGCGGCCATCTTTGAAATTAAATCAAGTTATAAGAAATGGAGATGGCAGCAGTGGAGTTTTCCAAAAATTTTTTTTTTTATGTTTAGAGGAGGATTTCTTACCAATCCAGAATAAAATCCAAAATAACCCTCACTTAAATAAATAGAACAAAAAAGTTCAATCAACGAACTTTTCCGATCCGTTGTAAATTCAGCAAAACTTGTCACCATGATAACATGAAATGGATGACTGGCTAATATGGCAAAAAATTGACAACATACAGCATTGATTAAATTTTGAAAAAATTTATCTTGATCGGTATTATCGATTTCAAAATCGTCCGGAGATGTTAAATTTTCTAAAAGAAAATTATCAATGAGTAAAATATACCTGAAAGGTATAAAGTTTTATAAGGTTTTTAGAAAAAAACAACCCAAACAAACAAACAAACAAACCTTTACTTATTTTTTTTTTTACTCTGTCACTAACACAAACCATGATTAATCTTTCACAAATTTTAGGTACGATTCCTCTATAGCATCCGAGAAAACCTTCTTTTTTATAAATGTAATTAACATAATAAAAAATATTAGGATGAGGCATGCCCATCAACTGCAAACCTTGCATTGATGTGAGGAGGTAAGGGATGTAAAACGTACTGTAATAAAAAAAAAAAAAAAGTAATGAAAAAACTTTTATCAACTTCATTTAACTTATTATAAAGTTTTATAAAATTGCTCATTTTTTTAAAAATAATTTTTTTTAATTGTTACAAAAAAAAAAAAAAAAAAAAGTTTTTCGGTTAAACCTACAATAGTGCATATTGCACTATGACAGATACAAGAGCGGCCGTTTGACATTTAATTCCTTCGGGATTAAAACCGATTTGAAGTAATACGGTTGCAAAATCAAAAGGATGTAAGAGAACATCTGCTACTATTGACGGAGACACAAAATTTAGAGAAGTTACAGCAATTCTAAATGCATTAATTAATAAAAAATTAGCCATATTTTTTCGATAATCATTTTTAACTTGTAATTTATCCTTGTTTTCATCACGCCATTATTATTATCAAAACTTTATTTACTGTGAGATTTCAATTTGAAATGTTAACGTTGCCAATCTGGATCAGGCTGAGCAACTTTAATCGTGATGAAATTTTGTAATGGCTGATCTAGTGAAAACTAAGGAATGTTAGCTTTAATAAAACTCGTTTTATTTTATTATTAATACTTAATATATATTGTGGCTGCGGCCAAAATATGCGTTTCTATGTCAAATACACATAAAACACAATTTATTGGGGTTGGGAACGAGAATATACAAAGAAAGAGCTGTAAAAGATTATCTGTAAATGATAACTTTTCATCAAAAAAGTTAAAACAAAAGGGTGAAATAATGACGGATACGACAACTCAAAAACGTGCTAATTTTTCCGCTTTAAATTCTAATTCGAATGGAGTAAACAAAAATTCTAATAGTTTACTTGTTTCAAAACCCGGATCAGCCAAAAAGCTGATTATAAAAAATTTTAAAGGTATGCAAATATTTTGTAAGCACTTTTCGGTATATAGCGGCCATTTTGTTAAATTTTTTTTTTTTTTTTTTGGTAATATTTTCATTGGATCTGTCGTATGCATTTCTTAATTATATTATTTTTCACAATATGAAGTTAAAAGGTTATTGGGAAATGTATTTTCCTTAAACGTTTTCATACACATTTTTTAAATGATTTCAAATTGGAGTTAACCTATAAGGTTCTGCACTTAACTGGCTAAGCATTGTTAATTAATTTTTGTTTTGTTTAGTTATTTTTTAGAGTAATATTTAATAATTTAGACTTACATGATTCAGTTTAATAGGTTAGTTTCAAGTAACAGTTTAAAATTTAGATGTTTAATGTATTATTATTTATATTAGTGTAAAATTATTAATATTAAACTAAATACAGTAAAAAAGATTTATCTAAAGTATGCAAATCAAAATTGGTAATTTTTTTTTTTTTTTTTTTTTTAGAAACTCCCAAACTTCCAGAAAATTACCAAGAGAAAACATGGGAAAAATTAAAGGAAGCAGTTATCGCAATACAAAGTTCAAAATTTATTCAATATAGCCTAGAAGAATTATACCAAGCAGTTGAAAATATGTGCAACCATAAAATGGCTTCTACTCTTTATGACAATTTATCTGGTAATTATTTGTATTTTTAACTAGAATTAAAATTATAATATTATTTAATTTGTTTGAATTTCTTTTTAGAACTTACCGAGCAACACATAAAAAAAAATATCGAAGAATTTTTGCAAGAAAATATGGATAAAGAGTTATGCCTTAAAAGAATGAATCATTGCTGGGAGTCACATTGTCAGCAAATGATAATGATAAGAAGCATTTTTCTATATCTAGATAGAACTTATGTCTTACAAAATCCTTCAATTTTTTCAATATGGGACATGGGACTAGAACTATTCAGAAGACATATTATATCAAATCCTGTCGTACAAAATCGTACCGTTGATGGATTACTCATGCTAATTGAACAAGAAAGGCAGGGAGATGCTGTCGATAGAACATTGCTCAAAAGTTTATTAAGAATGTTGACTGATCTTCAAATATATCAAGAAGCATTTGAAGCTAAATTTCTCATAGCCACAGAAAGACTTTATTCTGCTGAGGGGCAAAAATTAATAAACGAGCAAGAAGTCTCAGTTTATTTGGGTCATGTAGATAAAAGACTGTTTGAAGAAAACGAAAGGTTATTGTATTATTTAGATTCCTCTACAAAATGGCCACTCATTCATACAGTAGAAAAACAACTATTAAGTGAACATTTGTCAACGATTCTTCATAAAGGTTTAGAAAATTTATTAGAAGAAAATCGAATACCTGAATTAACATTATTATATGATCTGCTTACAAGAGTCAAAAATGGCTTAGTCGAACTATGTATTAATTTTAATACTTATATTAAGGTGTGTATTAAATTATTATTAATTTTTTTTTTTTTTTATAAAATGAAAATATTTTGCGTTTAAACAAAAAAAAAATTCAATTTAGAAAAAGGGTAAAACAATTGTGATAATACCGGAAAAGGACAGGACTATGGTTCAAGAATTATTAGATTTTAAGGATAAAATGGATTTTATCGTGTCTAATTGTTTTCAAAAAAATGAAAAATTTTCAAATTCGTTAAAAGAAGCTTTTGAATATTTTATTAATCAGAGAGCTAACAAACCCGCGGAATTAATCGGTAAATATTTCGTTTGTTTTTCATTTTTTTATCATTATTAATTGACATTTCACGTTTAAAAAAAAATGTAAATTCGGTTTTTCCAGCAAAATTTGTCGATTCGAAGCTTAGGGCCGGAAATAAAGAATGGACGGAAGAAGAATTGGAAAGATTATTGGATAAAATAATGGTACTTTTTAGATTTATTCACGGTAAAGACGTCTTCGAAGCCTTTTACAAAAAGGTGAGAACCCTTAGAAATATTTCAATTTTAGTTAAACAATAATAATAATAATAAAATATCGACAACTAATATTTTTCAGGATCTTGCCAAAAGACTTTTGGTGGGAAAATCCGCTAGTGTGGATGCTGAGAAAAGTATGTTGTCGAAATTGAAACAAGAATGCGGTGGAGGATTCACGTCCAAACTTGAGGGAATGTTCAAGGATATGGAATTGAATAGAGATATTAATATAGCATTTAAACAAGTAGTCTTATATATTATTATTTTTTTTTTATACTAAAACGATATGTATATTATGCGATAGATAAACGATGGATTTATGGTTTCAGTATATGGGAAATTTGAAAAATTCAAATTTAAGCGGGATCGATTTGACGGTGAATATACTGACAATGGGATACTGGCCTAATTACCCGTTGCTACAAGTTAATCTTCCCGTAGAAATGATAGAATATCAAAACGTTTTTAATAAATTTTATTTACTAAAACACAGCGGTAGAAAATTACAATGGCAACCGACTTTGGGTCACTGCGTTTTAAAAGCCACATTTGATCAGGTGATCAAATTAATCGCGTGCCTTAATTACCTCCACCCCTAACGATTACACAGGAATTATTATCATTATTTTATTGCAGAGTTCGCAAGGGAAAAAAGAACTTCAAGTGTCTTTGTTTCAAGCTCTTGTTTTATTATTATTTAACGAGTCAAATGAAATTTCTTTAGAGGATATACGAACTGCGACATCCATCGAAGTAAAAAAAAAAAAAATTAATAAATTATAATAGAAATATTAAAAAGGTTGAGCGAAGGAGGTTTATTATAACCGGAAGTTGATGATTGTCATGTTTTTTAGGATACGGAATTAAGAAGAACGCTCCAGTCATTGGCATGCGGGAAAGTTCGAGTTTTACAAAAGAATCCACGTGGGAGAGACGTCGAAGACGATGATAAATTTACATTTAATAATGATTTTTCAAATAAATTATTTAGAATAAAAATTAATCAAATTCAAATGAAAGAAACGGTGAGTGAGTGAACGAATTAAGAAGAATGTGTAAAAACAAAAAGAAATTTAAAATAAATTTTTTTTCGTTCACAGAACGAAGAACAAAAAGCCACGGAGGAAAGAGTTTTCCAAGATAGACAATATCAAATAGATGCGGCGATAGTGAGAATAATGAAAATGCGTAAACTCTATCACACAATTTACTTATATCTGAATTATATAATCAACTTAAATTTCCAGTAAAGGTTAGTCGGTCGGATTTTAAGTAATAAAAAAAAAAAAACAAACAGGAAAACTTTAATTTTTTGTTGTTTGTTTGTTTGTTTCCGTTTGTTTCAGCCTGCCGATTTGAAAAAAAGGATAGAATCATTAATCGATCGAGATTACATGGAAAGGGATAAAGATTATCCAAATCAATATAGTTACGTAGCTTGAAGAATTTATTATTATTATTATTATTTTAGTTTTTTTTTTTTTTGTCATTCTCAAATGTGATGATTGATTGATTGATGTGAGAGGGACGACTTTTTAAGGCACACGTGAATTGTTTAAAAAAATTTTTTTTTTTTTTTTAACTAATATTTTTTTAAAAAGGCGACAGCAATAATTTTTCTCAGTTTGTATTGTGAATTATCTGTCTCAATTGATACTCGTTGTGAGTTTTTTTTTTTTTTAACAAGAGTCAAATAAAGAATTTTATTATTATTATTATTATTATTATTATTATTGGATTATAATTTTTAATAAAAGATGATATGAAAAGTGAAAAAAGACAAGAGAAACGTGGGTATATATGTCTTGTATATGAATCCAGATATTTAATTTCCAAAAAAAAAAAAAAAGTGTATGGTATGTTTTATGATTTTGAAATTAATTATTATTATTATTATATTGTCAATGCTGACGTCTTTTCTTGTTAAAAAATATGTAAAAAAAAAAAAAAAAAAAAAAAGAGCTTTATTAAAAGTTGGAAAAAAAAAAAAAAAAAACAAAAAATCGAGAGCAGATAATTTTCATTTAAAAAAAAAAAAAAAATTAATAATTAATAAATTAAATTGATTTTCCTTTTTTTGAAAACAATCACCATATCCTTTTATTTATTATTAATAATCCCTTTTTCTAACAGCTTTAATAAATAATATTTTATGTATTTATTAAATTATTATTATTTAATTTACCGTTTAATGTAATTTTTCAAAAAAAAAATTTTAAAGAGATAAAAATATTGAGTTTGTTTGCTGGATTAATTTTAAATATTGGCCAGATTTCAATTGTATATACAAAAAAATTGCTTTAATGAAAGGCTTTTTGTAAAAAAAAAAAAAAAAAAAAAAAATGTTAATATTTATGGCTGTCACAATTTTTTTTTTTTTTTTTTAAATACAAATTTTAAAAATATTTTCGACTAATTATTTATTAATAACGATTATATAATTCATGATAAATCAAATGATGGGAAAAATAAGTATGGATTTGTGTGATAGAGAGTGAAAAAGTGACTTAAATTCTCAAATTTAATATTTAAAGATATATTTAGCTGATATTATGTCATTATAACAAAATTTTAATTTGTTCTCTCATGGTCGAAAAATACCTAAAACCTTACAAAGTTCTTTTGCTTAAATTAGAATATCCTATACCTAAACACGTTATCAAAACCTTTTTAGCACCTTGATTTAATTCTTCATCATCATCATCATCATCATCTTTTTCTTTTGCATCTAATTTAAATGTTAGTCCGAAAAAATCTTGGATATGTTGTAAAAATTTTATCCTGTACAAAAAAAAAAAAAGTATCCATTCAAAATTTTTTTGTTTCAATGTGAATTTGTACAAAAAAAAAAAATTTTTTGCCTTACATATAAGGAGAAAGAGGTCCAATTAAAAATTTTGAAATATCCTTTTGTGTTAAAGACATCCATAATGCAACTAAACTTTGATAACTACTCGACACACAACCCCCTCTATAAATTTCTTCTAACAATAAATTGGCTGCATGAATACCTAAATCTTCAGGAACTGAAGGTTCAATATCGGGGCTAGGTATGTTTGAATGATTATCGCATGTGTAAAATACTCCAGTTGTTGTTTCAGCCGTTAAACTCACACCGAAACCTATAAGATGGAACTTTAAGAAACCTGTATTTTTTTTTAAATTGATGTAATTAAAGAGAAGATGTACCAGGAGATTTTCCACTTTTGTCTCCTTTGCAATGATCAGTATTTATGTAAACATCTGGCAAATAATGAAGCAGAACACTTTTTGCACGTTCAACAATCCTATTAGCGAATGTTGGCGAAACTCTAACAGCATAGACTACTCCTCTGATTCTTTTTACCTTACCAGCATCCAAAACCTACAAATGATTCAAATGTGGTACCAAAGGCAAACCTTATTTCAATTAAACAATAACTTAATGAAAATTAACCTGAATAGGTTTTAGAGATTTTCTAGTAGGACAACGAAACTCGACTTGACCACCGCCTTCCGGAGCCATACCTCTTTTAACAACCTTTAAAGATAATCCATCATCAACTACCAAAAATCTTTTTAAAATTGGAATTAATCCTGTTATCATACTATCCACTGATACTTCATTCTAAAAAATTAATTTTTGAATTATTTTTAATATGCTGTCAGATATCAAAGACTTAAAAATTTTTTACTAAAATTAATAAATTACTTGAGCATTTGTTACTCCATATAAAACACAGTGTAATGGTTTTTTACAAAAAGGAGCCAAAGCAATTAATACTTCAAGATAATAAGAAATAGCTCTAAGTTTACAACATTCATGAGTAACAAAACCACCTTGTAAAAGTCCTGGTTGAAAATATACACTTGTACCAGTATAATTTAATTCGACAGTTGTTCCATTTGTAATTTTGTCCAATAACCTAATTAAATTAACCTCATACTCTAAAACAAAACAAATTATTAACTTTTTAGCTTGCATTCATTTGGTTTAAAACTTAAAAAAAATAAAAAAATTTACCTCTTAAACCGGGGAAATCATCCATACATCTTATATCATTTATTTTAACAGGCCTCCCACTTAATACTGATAAAATTAATCGCATTCGAAATCCATTGCTACCTCTATAAATCAAACAACTTTCTTTTTTAGCAACTACAGACATTTTAAATTAATATTTTCACGTACTCGTTAATGTGCATGTTTAAAATTCCTTCCATTCAAAAGTTTAAAGTATAGCAAATCTGATTAGCAGCAAAAAGTATAAAAATAATTATTTTTCCCATTTTATCAGCAATACAGTAATTTAATAAATTATTTTATATATATTTTGTTTATTGTACGTAGTTATTCAGTGATTTAAAACTTATTAATATTTTAACGATAGCTTCTTCCATTTTTGCTACCATTAAACGGTCAAAATGGTTTAGTTTACAATTTTTATGAATGAAAAAACCCGTTATTTTTTTTTTTTTTTTATTTAATTTTCTTTGTATCGGTTTTTTTTTTTTTTTGTTGAAATTATTAATTTTTTTTTGTTTGAAAAACATTTATTTACTATTGTTATATTTACTACATTGTGTAAATAGTCTAAATAAAATGAACTATTATAATAAAGTGCCTGTTAAAAAAACACGAGTTGTTATTTTTATGAGTAAACATATTACAAAACCGTAAAATGGCTTTTTTTTAACTTTAAACTACAGTAGTTTTTTTTTTATCGTATTGAATAAATTTGTATAATTTTTTATAAAGTTTAAATGCCTTATAAATCTCTTATAAAACGAATTGTAATTATTATAAGTTGTTAATCATGACAAATAACTGAATTATTATGGGTCCTGTAAAATCTTGTTGTAAAAATCAAATGGATGACAATTTAATGGTGACCAAAATGGATTTAAGTCACTGTGGGTGTTTAGAAGTTCCACCCATTGTTTTTAACGCGGAGAGATATATAGAAACATTAATTTTGTCTTCCAATCAAATATCTAGTTTGCCTCCTCAATTATTTCACTGCCAGGTTTATACATCTTACACTTTAATAAATTTTATTATTTCCACATTCGTTAATACTACCTTGTAAATAATAATAAAAAAATTTTTATTTTTCCAGGAAATGAAACATTTAAATTTAATAGATAATTGTCTCAACAATATTCCACCAGCCATTGGTTCTTATCAGTATTTAATTAGTTTAAAATTAGATAAAAATAATTTACAAGAATTGCCGGAAAATTTAAAAATGTGTAAAAAATTAAAAAGACTTAGTTTAAATAGTAATCCGTGGAAAATTATGCCAAATATTGTTACTCAGTTAATTGCCCTAGAGGAACTCTATATGAACGATTGTGAATTAAACTATTTACCAGCATCAATAGGAAGATTAGCAAAACTCAAAATAATCGAACTTAGAAATAATAATCTGTGTAATTTGCCTTTATCTATGACAAGACTAGGAATGCTGACTCGGTAAATTTAAAAAAAAATCATTATTGATTTTTATTAATATTAATTATTATATCGATTAAATTATCATAATGTATTTTTTTCAGATTAGACATTGGGGATAATGATTTTAATGAATTCCCACCTTGCATTTCAAAATTGAAAAACCTTACAGAATTACTTTTGGATAATAATGACATTGAGGAAGTTATGGATATTAAAAATTTAGTGCATTTGGAACATTTCGATGCTAGCTATAATCACATAACTATATTGTCTGATACAATCGGTTGTTGCATACATTTAACACTTTTGAATTTATCATTTAATTATTTAGAAACATTACCAAATTCAATAGGAAACATTAGTTTTTTACAAACTCTTCATTTAGAAATGAACGAATTAACAGAGGTGAGATTTTAATATTTTATGTTTGCAATTGCACTTTCACTTTCCTATAATAATAATAATATTATTTATCGTTAAACTTCATTTCATGTTTTTTTCAGATTCCCAAATCGATTGGAAAGTTATCATATTTGGAAGAATTAAATCTTTGTAATAACAAATTACATCATTTACCCAATACAATAGGTTTGTTAAGAAATTTAAGAAATTTAAACGTATCGAAAAACATGTTACAAGAATTCCCACCTGAAATAGGATCGTGTACCAGGTACAACCAAAAAAAATTTTTAACATAAAAGTTAAAAAATTCGAAAGAATTTCATGGAGAGAAAAAAATTTTTAGGTTATCAATAATTAATGCTGCTTACAATCATCTTCAAGTTTTACCATCCGAAATTGGGTATTTGAACAATTTAAAAGTTCTCGATCTTGTTGGTAATTTTTTAATGTACCTTCCAATCACGATAGTCAACCTAAGAGGAGTTCGAGCCATTTGGCTGTCTGCGAATCAAAACGTTCCCCTAATTCCTTTTACCGAAGATGTTAATTCGGCAAACGGTGAAAGATTTTTAACAAATATCGCACTGCCACAAATCGGTGAAATACCACGAAAACATTTAAACGTTATTTATAAAAAGGCGGAAACCAACGAGAAACACGCATCGTGGAACAAGAAAATCAGGTAAAAGAGTAAATTATGCATGAAAAATATTTCGTGTAAATAACTTGATTGTTTTTTTTTTTTTTACGGTCAGGTTTTCCGAAGATGAAAATATTCTCCCGGGTAAATTTCACCGTACCCCGACACCATTCCCTAAAGAATTAAGATCTCCCAGTAGAAAGTTAATGAAAAATGAAGAACAACCTCGGGCGAATGATAATTACGCAAACGTGATGGATGGGAAAGTTCTAGAACATGAAATTCCGTTACTTCAATCTCCATCCATTTGCATGAGGAAAACGAATTCGGATTTAAATTTTTACGATGGTAAATTTTCCTTTTTTTCCCAATAATAATAATTGATGAATGATTTCAAACGTGGGAAATATGTTATATAGGTGACGTACCGAGAATCAGAGAAGCGAGCATTGTTAAAAATAACAGAGGTAATAATAATATTGTCGATATATCGAACGAGAAATACGTTGTTGAAAACGATAAAATGGCGGCCATGGATTTAAATAGAGTTATGGTCGTGGATTGCATCAATTAATGGTAAATTTATTTATTTATTTATTCTACCTCTTCGACATAAATTAAACCTAATTAAATTATTTTAATAATTTTCCAGGTAAAATTTTAACGCGTTTGTGATAAAACGAAAGCCTTCAATCATACGAAAGAAAAAAGAAAAGAAAAAAGAAAACTCAGGGTTTATTATATTTTTTTTTATATATAGGAAAGTCATGTACTATTATTATTATTATTAATCTGTGATATTTTTTTTTTTTTTTATTATTTTTTTATAAAAATATCGATGGCGATCCGTCCGTTAAAATAAATAAATAATTAAGAAAATGTTTTTATCATTATCACTCACTCATAAATCAAATTTTTATTTTTTACTTTCCCAATAATATCAATCAATCAATTAATTTTCACAACGGAAATAATAAATTAAATACTGATAATAATGATAATAAATAACGGTAATGAGGTAAAAAAAAAAAAAAAACCGACAAAAATTAACGAATGCAAAATTTATCATAATTTTTTAAATGATTAACGGTTAATAGACGACACCACCCCTACCATCACCCCTACTACTACTACCTCTACCACTACTCTCTGAATGCCTTAAAAATTATAATTAATAATAATAATAATAATAATAATAATAAAATTGTTTTTATTGGGTAATTATACGTAAGAGAAAAGGGGATTGATTGGAAAATGTGCGGTGTGTGTGTGTGTGCGTGTGTACCACGTGACACGAATCCATCAATCAAAAATTTTTTATTAAATTTCGAAATCGATTCAAGTAACATAATTGCAAAAAAAAAATAAAAAATAAAATTTTAAGAAAAATAAATTTTTCGGTTAAAGAGTTCAATGTCGACTTATTATTATTATTATTCTTTTCTTATATTATTATTATTATTATTATTATTATTATTATTATTATATATGTACAAATGGCCGACTCGATTGATTCCCAAATAAATAATTTTGTTTTAAATTTTATAACAATTATCCATTAAAAAAAAAAAAAAAAAAAAAACATAATTCAGTTTTGCATTGAATGGAAAAATTTTAAATAATAATAATAATGATGATGATGATGATGATGATGATGATGATGACGATATGATATAAAAGCATATAATTTGCGGTTAAGGGCCGTAACACAAGGTATAAAGAAAACCTGAGACGAAAATCAACGATCATTGCAAAATAAGGCATTGACTTTGAAAAACTCTTGTTATACGTCATTCGTTTTTAACGAATTTTTTTTTTTTTATTCGCACGCACACACACGCACACGCACGCACAAAATTATTTTATTTTATTAGGTAAGTAATTTAATATTTATTTTATTTTTTAAATTTTTATTCGTTTTTGATTAATATTTTCGCGCCATTTTATTTCCCAATTTTTTTAAAAAAAAGCTAATTGTTTCGTTTTTTTTTTTTTGGTTTAATGTAATAATAATTATTATTATTATTCTTTTAATTTATTTTTTTTGTTGATATTATTAACAATAAGATTATTATTATTATTATTATTATTAATGTTTAAATAAATAAATTAATAAATTAAATTAAATTAAATTCGTTTGAAGTGAATTTTTTTAGTATTGAATTTTTATTTATTTATTTTAATTAATTATTTATAATATTATTATTATTATCTATTTTTAAAATTTTTATTTATTATTATTATTATTATTTATATTTTATTATTTAAATTCATCTTTAAAATATTTTTTTTCTGAGACAAAAAAAAAGGCCAATGAACGGAAGTCCTACGATTCAATTTTTTTTTTTTTTTTTACGTAATTACGAGCGTAGAAAAAATTTTTTATTTCATTTAAATAAATTTGTTTCCCAATTAAATATCAAATTGTTTAATTAATTAATTTATTTATTTATTTATTTTCCAGAAAAAAGAAAAGAAAAAGAAAAGAAAAGAAAATGAAATACGTATATGTTGCCATTTTGTTAACGTCATCATTCATTTCAATCGTTTATTCTCATCCGATAAATTCCGGTAAGAAAAAAAAAAACTTAAAACCTAACAAGAAGTAAAAAAACCTTAAACCTAAAACCTAAAGACAAGTTTTTTTGTTTCAAAAAGTAAATTTATATGAAATCGAATGTTCGAACGCCATTTTGCATCCGCGAATTAGTCGTTACACCTTTTCGACTCGAAAGAATTTTATCTAAACCGGTTTATATAATAATATCAAGTCATAATAAAAAACCGTGAATAATCTTTCATGACCCCTGTAAATACTTTTACGCTTCTCATACTAAAAACTACTTGTGTTTACCACACCCCTACCACCTCTACCACCACCGCCATCACCCCTCCTCCATTTTTTTTTCATTAATAATATTTGTGATCATTTTTTTTTTTTAAAGATGTACAACCTAAAGATTTTTACAAAAGGCAAATATTACAACCAATACCAGGTTACATACCTGTATACATACAATCGGATGAAGATTTATCACCAAGACAAAATGGACAATCGATCAAATCACACAAATCTCAAACCATTGAAAAAAATAAAAGCATTCAAGAAACGAATAAAAAAATTTAATGTTAAAAAAACTAATTTTTTTAGTTAAACTACCGCCATTTTTTTTTTTTTTCTCACATCGAAACAAATTTTTTAAAATGTTTCATAATTTTTTTTTTTATCGAATTAATTTTTTTTAATATGGAAATTGTTTTTTTTAAATTGTTGCAATTAATTGAAATTATTTTTTAAATGTACATTGTTTATATGTTATTAAAAGTTTTAAAATTTAAAAAGAATTGTAAGTTCAAACGAATCGAATACAAAAATAAATTTAAATTAAAAAATTAAAATTTCGATAAAATTACTTTTTAACTTTTAGAACCCTAACTAACCCAACTAACTTTGTTAATAACTACCTTAACTTTGTTTTTAACTAACCCATCACTTTGTTAATATTAAACACTAATCAAAGTAGAATAAGCACCATTCTAAACGAGGGACCATATTGTAACCAAATCGAAGAATTAGAAAAAATGTGGAAAAATTGAAAGACGAATAGTAAAAAGACATTATTTAATTTTCTTATAAACAACCTATTAAAATATTTATTTTATGTACAATAAACAAAGCTGATAATTTGTACTAGTCAGTTATTTGATTCATAACGTTATCCATCAAACATTTTTTTGTTAAATCGGATATGGTTTTGCATTTTGAAATAAGGAGATCCATAGATTTTAAAATGGTATTTATCGATACAGTCCCACTTTGGGTTATTTCAGTTACCTGAGCCATTTCAGGCATATATGATAAACTTATTATACCTATTTCGGAAGTTTTGTTTTTAAAAAACGATTTACAAAATTTTTCCTCCTCAAAATTAGGATCGATAAATATCATATCATTATGAATCCCCTAAAATTTTAATATTGTAAATACTAATGACTCCTCAGAGAAAAATTAATTTAATAAAAAAAAAAAAAAACTTACCAGAGTGACTGAAGTGAGAATGTCATACATTGGAATTCCAGCATCTGCCAAAGCTAAACCTGCAGCTGTGATAGCAGCAGATAAGCAAGAGCCATCATTATCGAGTAGGAGAGCATAAACGTCGACTTGAAAATTTGGAAACTCATGCTGAAAATAAAAAAAAAACAATACTCAATTAGTAAAATATTAAATATTAAAAAAAAATAAGAAAAAGTTGTTAAGAATATAAACTGTACCCTACAAACTGCTGGTTCAAGAGATCTTTTTAAGATAATACTTAAATCTTTTTCTTCCAAATCCATAATGTGTCCTTTTCGTTCCAAACCGTAAAATGGTGCAAATTTAAATTCACAATAAATTTCACCATTCGGAGTAAATTCTGAAAGTCTTGGAATTTCTCGCGGTTCAAAAACCGACACAAGAACTTTAGTATTATTTAATTCTAAATATGCGGATCCTTTTGCTTGTGTCACAACACCGGTTTTCATATCTATCATTTAAAAATAATCGTAAAAAATCTTTAATTTATCTGTATTTAATTTTTTATTTTAAATTTAAAAAAAAAAATTTAAGTACTTACAAATTTTTCTTTGATCCTCGAATGTTCTGCCATCTTTTCGAATTTTATTATTATCTAATATTTCTCTTAAAGTAGATTCGTAGTCTTTAACATCTTTTAAAACAAAATGTTGATAACTTTCCGAATCAGTTGGAACTTGAAGTCGTCTGAGATCCCGAGCCATTTTAAATAAAAAATAAAAACCACACCGTTCGAATGGTTTAACGACCACAGATTAACGACTAATGGTTTAACGTGGCTACAGAATAAGAGAATATTTTTCGCGCGCAAAATAACAAATTACAATTATTTTTGACGTGAGTCAAAATAATTCCTTAAAATTACTTTTTTTAATAAAAAAATTACATAAATTATAATAAATTTACATTAATTAAAATTTTAATAATAATTTTTTAAATAATAAAATAAATTTTTTTATTAATCGGTGAATTTAAACCGCGTTAAAAACATTAATAGAAATTAAATTGTACTTACCGATTTAAATGGCGACGAATAAAAACAAATGAAAATGTAAGTAAATGAAAAATTAAACTTGAAGAGGATTATCTAAAAAAAAAAAAAAATTAATTTTTTTGTAAAATTTTCATTGAGTGAATCAATTTTTTTTAAAAAAAAACCTCCAATAAATTATCATTTTTTTTTTTTTATTAAAATACAAAAATTATAAATATAAAAACGTATAACACATATGTACATTAAAATGAAAGCATTTTATATATATATATATAATTTGTACTAAAATTATAAATAAATAAAAAAAAAAATTTAATTACAATTAATACTTAAATACTGATAACAGCAAGCAAAATAAACTTAATAAATTTCATTACAAAAAGCAATAAGTTAAAAAGTAAAAAAAAAAAAAAAAAAAAAAAACATTTAGAGTTAATTGTAAAAATTTAAATACATTTTTTAATATACAAAAAGTTCTTTAGTTGTTGCTGTTGTTGTTTCAAAATTCATTTAAATTTCACATCATCAGTTATGAATATTTAAAACCTAACTAAAAAAAATTTGTACTTGAAAAAAAAAACTAACTAACCGGTTGTCTGTCAAAAAAAAACTAATTTCGGATATAAAAACTTATTTATTTTATGTAGTTAATTAAATATCATTTATGTAAAGTTTTAATAAATAAATATCAAACTAATGTTATTTATATATATATGTATATATAAACTTCTTAAGATCAGTCTTTTTCTTTTAGGTTATACAAGTTTTTAAAAATAAAAAACTTTATAAATTTCTAATTATTAGACTTTCTTTCCTTTTTATTAATCTCAGGGACGTATCTTAATCGTAATGACCTTATTATTTTTTTACAACGATTAAAGATAATGTCGGAAAAAAGTGGGGAGGGGAGGGGGGAGGCTTAAACTAAACGTATCTCGTAAGTTGAGCATAAAATTCTTGAAGACAGATATTTAATTGAGTGAATGTGGGTCGTTCGTCGATGGACATCGCCCAACAATAACCCATAACGGCAAACCTGAAAAAAAAGTTTCATGATAAAAAATCAAATAACGATCAAGTAAATATTATTTAAATAAATAAATAAATTCCCGTACAATTCGTCGGGACAATTTATGGGTTGCGTCAACCTGTATCCATCCCTTAAATACGCAGCCATTTCGAATGGATCCACTTCTAAATAGGGTTGCTGAGCAAGGGTTGTCAATTCCCAGAGTAACACCCCGAACGACCACTGCAATCATCATACAATAAACTCGATAAAAAAATTAAATAAATTATTAAAAGTTTTAAACGGTTGTACAGGTACGAACCACGTCACTCGCTGTCGAAAATGTTTTCAACGTTAAACTTTCGATTGCGAGCCATTTGATGGGCCTGTTTTCGTTGTCTCCCAAACAATGATAATCCGCGGGAAATAAATCTCGCGACAGTGCATTGTCCCATATTTGAACTCTTAATTTATCGTCGACCCTGTTTTTTTTCATTTAACAAATCATTATTATTATTATTTTCGTTATGTACATTAATTAAAATGAACGTCGGATACTTACACGCAATTACGAGCCGCGATATCTTTATGAATGATTTTTTTCTTATGTAAATATTGTAAACCGTGAACAATTTGTAAAGCCATGTCGACAACTTCTTGAGTCGTTAGAGCGTGAGCTATACCTTCTGGACAAACTTTACATTTCTGTAGGAACCTGGAAAAAAAAAAAAAAAAAAATATCATCTCGTTGAATTAAACAAATTTTTTTTTTTTTTATCCTCGAATCGAATTTCCAACCTTTTTAAATTTGTATATCCTTGGTAATGGTAAACGAGAAAGGGCGAAGAATGTTCTTCGATGGATACTCCCAATATCGACAATATATTTTTGTGATTTAAATTGTAGAGAGACATTCCTTCTTGCAGCAAGACGGATATTTGAGTTTGAGAAGCATGTTCTAAGGAGTTAAAGACACACATAAAAAACAAAGTTCCATGAGAATAACTACAAAAAAAAAAAAAAAAAAGATACCACCCACCTAATACTGTTTTGACGATTATTTCCTCTTCTCCGCCGTCTTCTTCGGCGAAGGTACCACGGTACACTTTACCAAAAGTACCTTCGAGTATAATACTTTTTAACCTTATCCGACACTTGGGAATCGACAATTCGGCTATTCTTTCACTCAGATCTTTATCTTTTTGTTTGTCTTCAATGACCGAATAACTCGGCATCCTTTTGAAACTCGCATAACTCGTTATGCTTTTACAACTGCTCAGGGAAGTACCCGTTCTGTTGTTTGCCATTTCGACGGGTAAAAATGTCGCGTGTCCCTGTCCCGAACAAGCGGATTCGTTTCTCGATTCCCTGAAATAATCATTATTCCATTTTAATCATTATTATTATTTTTTCATTCCCGAAATGAAACATTCCACTAACTGCAACATTCCACGTCTTATTTTTTTTGTTTTCACGTAGTACGCAATTATCATGGTGACAATGACTGCGATTAAAGCGCAAGCGCAACCGACAGCAATGTAAAAAATATTTGGAGCTGGAGTCGTATCGATGAGCACAATCTGTTGACTATCATCGGACGTCGTTTTGGAATCTGGAAATACAATGAATGTCAACACATACACCCACACATATTCTACGACAGGATTTCATAAATCAATTTGTACCTTTAAGACATATTTTCCGTCTTTTAAACATCAAATGCGTCACCGTATTGTTCGCTTTGTTTATCGTGATGGTAACGTTAAGACGAATGTCGATTTCAGCATCCGCCAATCCCGAACACGGGAGTTCGACGGTAAAAGTTTGAAGGGTTATGGGTACGAAACCGGAGTGGGAAATATTCAATTTCGGATTTATTAAAATTCTCGAATTTGATAACTGTAGAGCAATGTTGTATTTTAACTAAAACAAAACAAAAATGATACGGGGGTTTTAATTTCCTTCTCTGCAATACGATACGATACGTTTAAACCTGAAATTTTAATTACCGCTTTTCCTGCCAGACTTTGCCACGTAAAAAATAAGGCACTAATATGCGATGGTATGAGTATAACAAAATTCAATGCGTAATCGTTTACGACGCCATCTCGTACGTAATAAAGATCGGCATCTACTCCTGTAAAAATAAATAAATAAATAAATTTCGGGATTCATTTCTTTTGGTAACACCAAAAAACGGTTGACTGAATATAAAAAGTTCACAAAACCACGAATTCACGGTTCAGCAATAATAATAATAATAATAATAACCATCATCTTTCCATTCAGTCTCATTCAGACCCGAAGCGTTTCAGGTGCTCATAACAAATATAATCAATTATTATTATTATTTTTAACGGAATTCAACCGTGCAAATATTTTTATATAATTTCAAATTCCGTGATTTCCCCCTTCCTTCCCCCCTCCACTCCTCCCGCATTTAATCGATAACAAATGTTTGTCCCATCGACATTACCTTCAACCTTTTTTAATTAATTATTATTGTTTTAAATTTTTCTATCACCATAAATGACATCGAAATTTTTTTCCACACGTGGATTACGTGTGGATACGTGTAATCCACGTGGGTTATGGATTATGTTTTGGAAAATGAGTTTGAATTATGCGACAACCGGCGTCGTTAACAATCCATGCATGCAAAAAAAATAAAAAATAAAAAAACAATTTTTGAAATAATAAATCCACTTTTTGCCGTAATTACGCGCGCTCATTATAGCAAAAAAAAAAAAAAACAACAAATTTTTGCTCTTATTTACCCAAGGTATAAAAAAAAAAAAATTGTCTTTCTACAACCGCAAATTTCATCCATCATCGAGTCATCAATTTTCCACGTGGATAAATATCTATCGACAAATTTATATATATATATATATATATATATATATATATATATATATATATATATATATATATATATATATTGTCGTGGCCCGATTCGATTATCGATTCACAACGTTGATCTTCCTCCGCGTTCGTGGTATTATTCAAGATTGAAATCGAACACACTTTTAACGAAAGAAGAATTATATTGATTGTAAGCAACATAAGAACATTTTACAACATGTTACATGTACAGAACAAATTAGTCACTAAAATAATGTTATGAACACTACTAGTTGTAAACACTATCACAAAACTAGACCTAGACACAAGTTGAACTCTAAGATATCAGGAGAAACCGATGAACTAAGAGTCGAACACCAAGAACGAAGAGTTGTGCAACAAGAACAAAGTGCAGAGAAACAAGAACCATGGCTGAGACGTTCAGCCTCCTTTTATAAATTCTGACTATCGCTAGTCATTGTTCATTCACTAGCAATTAAGATAAGATTAGAAAAGCGAAGCTTCTAGAAATGCTGACTATGTGTCTACGATATGAATAGTCACTATCTCCAGACATGCTGACTTTGCGTCTACCATGTGAATGGAATCACTATCTCCAGACATGCTGACTTTGCGTCCACTATGTGAATGGAGTCACCATTCCCACTCATTTATCAAAAAACACACCACATCCGACATGGGTTCATAACACCTCCCCATATATAGAAGGAAAACAATTTTTTTTTTGAAAAGAAAAATTTGTTTTCTCCTCTGGAAAAACTTGGAAATTTTCCTTTGCTGGTTACTTGCAGAATTCTTTAAATTTAAAAATTCTCGGAAAGAATACCAATCAACGTGAAATAATAATAATAATAATAATAAAGTTTGATTTGAATCCTTTTAAAAAAAAAGGTTCAAAGGATTTCAGTAGAGTTTTATCCTTTGAATATTCTCTCTCTCTCTCTCTCTTTTTTTTTTAATCTCTAAATTAGAAAAATTAAAAAATTGAATAAGGTACAAGAAGAAACAGGTCTTAGGTTTTAAACAATCCACGTACCGAGTAAACAGAAAATATTTATGTTCATAGCACCTCCCACACAAGACTCCACACTCCGAGAAACGAGCAGGACATCCGGGGGGGGGGGCACTTTTCTACAATTTATCATCGCGTCTTCAATTTTGCATTCCTCCACCCCCCCCCCCATAACCCCCGCGTGAGCGAGCGACAAAATAATAAAAAAACGATAAAAACCTTAACGAGAGGAAATATATAAAGGATTGACATTTTATTCCTGCCGCGAGGCAAAAAAGGTCAAAAACCTCCATTTTCATTTTCTTTAACAGGAAATTTTGTATAGGAAAAACTCATAGACCCTCATTTTATATCAACACACACACACACGTCATATTGGCGTTCACTAATGTTATTGATTCGTTTTATATTCCACGTCTGTTTGTTTTGTGAATGTGTCCACGTGTTTGGGGAGAAAGAGAGAGAGGGGGACGAACATACCACCCCCACCACCACCACCACCTCTCATAGCATTAGTTTTAATGAAGAGTAATTGGGTTTAAATTTATTGTCGTCTGCATATAACCTTAAACGACTCTCCTAATATGTGTTCTTATTTTACGTCAAAAGAACTTGAAAAACCTGCACAAAATAGTAGCAGAAGCCATACCTTATTTTACAAAACAAAAAAAATTTGGGGAGCAGAATAAAAAAAAGTAAAATTCGAAGGGGGAAACGCAACGATTCGACAAACAAACAAAAAAAAATTTTTTTTTTTATAAAATCCCATTAAAGAATATAATATTTTGATGTGTGCGTCAAAGAAAAGAAAAACGAGATCGTTCGATTGATCGATCCATCGATCGATCGTTCGATTGATTGATTGATTGATCAATCGAATAAATTGAAAGCTTCTGCTTGTTCTACTTCTTGTATAAACCATTGTATAGTTTAACAAATGCAGTAAATTTTTTTTTTTTTTTTTTTTTTATTTCCGTAAGATTAAATTTCAATTGAAATTGGGATTTAAAATGTTTGTTCAACATATTCTTTTTATCCAATTCAATTTTTATTTACGTACGTAAATAGGATTATTATCATTATTATTATTATTATTATTTTATTGTTAATCAATAAAGAAAAGAAAAATTTTATTTTATTTTTAACAAAGGCTCGAATATCGATTTTTTTTTTTTTTTTACATTCGTGAATTTTTCACCTTTGAACTTACGTAAAAATAAAATAAAAAACGATTAATTATATTTAATTTGACGAAACTAATGGTAATAATAATAATAATAATAATAATAATAATAATAATAATAATAATAATAATAATAAAAACGTTCATTTGATCACCTTACGTGTGCCATTAAATGGTAGTTGTTAATAGGTGTAAAATTTTATGGCATTTTTTTTTTTTTTAAAACAAATAATCTTGAAGACAAGCCAAAATAAAATAAATTAAATAAAAAAAAAAAAAAACGTGGTAGGAGGAACGTACGAACGTAGAAGAAAAATATTAATAATAATAATAATAATCGAACTTGTCCAATTATTATTTTTTTTTTTTTCAACGTTTAGTTTGGTGCATTTAAAAAAAACAAAAACAAAACAAAAAAAAAAAAAAAAGTAAAATTAAACAAACATAACAAGAGAGAAGTTTTGCTAGTTTACAACAAAATAAACAAATCCATTAGAATTTTTTTTTTTTTTTTAAACAAGTTAATATCCAATTATAAAATTTAATTTATTTGACAAGTCGTTATAATAAAAAAAAATATCGAGTTTAAAGATGAAGAAATATTTTTTTTTTTTTTTTACTGTTTGTTGTTTAAAAACTACTTTTTACTACTCTTGTTACTCTTTCTCATTTTTTAATACAGATTTAAACCGAAAGAAATTATTATTATTATCATTACAATTAATAATGGCGGTTAAACAATAATAAAAACATAAACAACAGCAATAAACAATGAATCAATTAAAACAGAAAGAAACTAAACAAATGAGATCAGTATGCATGTTCCCCCACCCACCGCCCACTCGAATCATAGAGTAATATGTAAATTAGAAAATTTTCTCATCAAGGATTATCCCTTAATCAAGTAAGCGTTCTAAAGCCACGTGTATAATAATAATAATAATAAGGGTTTTGCTTTAAAACGAATCAAAATTCATTTCTATTTGAACCTTGTTACGAAGAATGATTGGTAACATCGTTAACAAAATGTTTTCAAATGTAAAATCCAACCAACTGAGACCTTTCAGGTTTTACAAACGAGTACTTTTCTTACGACCTGCTAAGCAAATAAACTTTTATTTATGGGATTTAACAATAATTTCACCCGTAGAGAGAGAGACAGAGAGAGAGAATATAAAAATCATATTTCGAGAGAGAGAGAGAGAGGGGGAAAAAATTTATAAAAAAAAAAATGATTTTTTTATTTTGGCTTGCCATCCTTAGCTAACAACCACCATTTCTTGTCAGCGTGTTGGAAAGAAAAAATAAAATAATTTTTTGTCTGATTTTTTTTTGGTTGACCAATAACGTAACGAGGATTAAAACTTTTTTTGTCATGTTAAATTTGACACGAGAATTCAAAAAAAGAACAGAAAATCAATAAAGAGAAACCTTTGATATTTTATAACATTAAATAATAATAATAATAACTGTCAATGTATTTCCTAAAATAGGAAGTAAAAGTTAATATTATTATGTATGGTTAAAAAAAAATATTTAAATAACATCATCAAAAAGCAGAGAAAAAATATTAAAATTAATACATAAATTATGTTAATAAACTCATTTAAAAACTTCTTTTTTTAATGAATGCAATCGATTACTTAATACTTTTTTTGGGGAGGGGGGGACAAAAAAAAGACACTAACAGTCGCACATATAAATTTTACCACAAGATAAAAAAAGACAGACTCTTTAATATTATTAATAAATTAAGAATTATTAAGAAGAAACCTATTAAATATCAGTAAATGAGTTTTTTAAAAACCTATTGATTTTATTTTATATATATAAATTAAACGCTTCGAAAGAATTTTATCGAGTGAAAAATTTACGATTCTTTAAAGGTAAATTAATTCATCTTTTAATTTATGTTAAATATAATCCAGTTGTAAGTTTTTCATTTGATTATAAATATGCTCAAATTAATTTTCAAATTATATCTGGTTTTGTGTTTCATATTAAAATTAGTAAACTTTTTATTGTATTTTTCTTTTTTAAAGTTCGATAAATTCAACAAAAGTCACAAAATTTTTTTTTTCGATTAATATGTTATGAAGAGATAAAAAACTACATTTTAAAACATTCATTTCTTCTTATTAATTAAGAAAAAATGTGCTTGATCAACAAATACAAATATAAAAAAGAAAAATACAAATGTCAAAATTTAGAAGAAAAAAACTAATAACTTACCCCATAATCGTTTGACTTCAGAATGAGATAAATATAAATCTAAATGTGCTTGACAAATTTTAAAAAAACTTATAATCAATATTATAGAGAAAGTCCAAGTCCAATAATTCATTTTTCTTCATAATATCATCTGAAATAAATAAATAAAAATAAGTGTTAATTAATTATTTTAAGTATTTAATAATTGACATCATTTTTAAAAAAATTTTGTTTACATTCGAATAATACAATGAAATAAAATCTATTATTAAAATAAACTCTTTTATTTTATTAAAGTCATCTTAAATTAATTTTATGTATTAAAAAAAAAACAATTATTTTTAAAATAAAGTAATAATAAATTATTAATAATTAGTTTTATGGTTTTTTTTTTTTTTAAATAAAAATTTCTTATAATTGGAATAATTACTAAACAATTGAATGGGGATTAAAAATAAAATAAAAATTTACAAATGGGATTTAATATTTAGTAAAATGAACTGATTAAATAAAAGAAAAACAAAATTAATAATTTTGTTTAATCTTAAAATACATAAACATAATTATGGATAAAAATTTTGATTTTTACTCACAAATTAAATGATGGGATGTTATCTATGATTTTACGGTTTACATTTTTTCGTTAATTATAAAAAACGTTTCTTTTATTAAATATAACGATAATAATAATTTTTATTATAAAACCGATCAATTTTTAAAATTCATTTTTAAGTTTTGCTGTAGTTTCGTGATCCCTTCACTACTCACTATAATAATCTGAACGATTAGTTCACAACTGACGCGTTATATTTACGTACCACCTACAAATTTTTAATGGTCGTGGCACTAGATAAATTATTCTTTTAACAATATTATCTTATTAATTACAAAAAATATATTCAAAAACTATACTAATATTGCATAATTTAAAACAAAAATTAATACTTACTCAAATATTCCGTTAATTTTTTAATTTAGCTGTAAATAAAACAAAAAATACATTTGACAGAAAATTTTAAAACCTTAACCTTATTAACTTAATTTCGCGCGATTTTATGTTAATATAAACAAATAAAAGAATTTTTTTTTGGCATTATTATAAAATGTAATTTTATTTAGTCAAATTTTTGTTAAAATAAAATCTTTATATAGTAAATATTTAATTTTTCGGTATATGGGAACAAAATAATAAAAAGTAACAATCAATCATAAAATTATTTCTTTAACACTGACATTGTCCATTTTTTTTTTTTTTTATTTCTTTGTAATTTATTACTAATTTTCTATATTTAAATAACTTATAAAATGTATATAATAAAATAATATAAATAAACACTTAAATATTTGTTTAAAAAAATTACTTTTCAATCAATGAAAATGGTCACTTTTATATAAAAAAATATATATATGTATGTAAAAATATTGGAATGTTTAAAAAACAAAAATGGAATAAAATTTTTAAAAAAACTTTCAAGTACATCAATACTGAGATTCTTTTTTAAAATCGTTTTAACGGTGATAAATCACAAAAAAAAATTTGTGACTTTTTTCTTTTTTTTTTTTTTTTTATACCTTAATCTATATAAATTTCGATTACTGAAACCTTAATATATATAACCTAATTTTTTTTTAGTATTCGGGCCCTGTTTCCCACAATTATTTACTTTCATCGTTTTTTCGTACTAATCTTTCGGGATGAAGATAAGCCAATTGTGAAAAATCTCGTACCACGTCGTTGAACATGTCATCTGGAGAACCTAATTCAGAATCTCTCATTTCTTCATTGAGCAAACCCAACCTTAATCTGCAAAAAGGAGCAAGTTGAAATGGCGATCAAGTGATGATATATGATTAAAAAACGAAATTTATATATTTTAAATATTTAAATACGAAAAACTAACAGCGTGACAATATCCGCGTTGGCATTTTCCACGGCTATTGACAAAGGTTCTACTTCCTTTAAATTTTTGATATGTTGATCCGCTCTGTGTTTTAAAAGTAAACAAACCTGAGCGGTGTGACCCAATTCGGTCGCTAAATGCAACGGAGTATTCCCTTCGACATCTTGAACATTCATCATGGCACCGTTGAGCAACAAGTACTCGCACGCCATTACGGATCCCTGTAAAAAGGTACAGAAAATAGAAATTTGGTCGGAGAGAGAAAAAAAAAAAGAAATTTATTTACTTACGCTGTTTATTGCTTGATGAAGAGAACTCCTGTTGAAATCTTCACTATTCGTCCAATGTTTATCAGCTCCCAAAGCCAAAGCTTCACACATGACTGGTAGGTTATGAGCTGCAGCAGCTTTGTAAAGAAGTAAATTAGGATGAAAATTTGCTATGTCTTCTTCTCCAGTGATTTCGTTTTCATCTTCACCTCCAGTCGAATCCTAAAATTCAATTTTAAAAATTAATAAAAAAAAAAAAATAATCAATCGCAAACATTTTTGAATTTTTTAAATTACTTGATCACTGGGAAGCTCAATGGAACCCCCCACCGGATGTTTATTTAAATCTTCTCCAAAAAGTAATAAATCTGAACTTTTAGCCAAATCGTCACAACTCCTACTTAAATCTGTATTTTGACAACAACTATTTTCTTTATCCGATGATGTCAAGTCCGATAGACTTTTATTAATGTTATCTACAAAAAAAAAAAAAAAAAAAAAAAATTTTCAAAATGGCTTCCGTGTAATAAATGATAAGTTTAAAGAAAAATTTTTTTATTTACCGTTAACACAAGATTTATCGTTAATTTCGTCAACACTGAAAAGATTGCTTGTCAATTTTTGCTTTCTAGAACCTTTACCATCACTACTTCTAGGCCTACGTCGTAATTTTCTCACACTCCATTTTCTTACAGGAACTGTATTTCTAGACGATCTTAAATCGACTATGTTTAGAGATTCAGGCATGACGGATATTTTTTTAACGAATTTTTTTTCTATGTATTTCGCACGAATCCACGAATCTCGAACATTTCTGCATTTAATTTAAAATTCGAAAAAATTAAAAACATAATTAAGACATCTTTGTTTTTTTTTTTTTTTGTATGACTGACTACTCACCCGCTACAATTAGGAGTAGCTCTCACAAAATCTTCTGGAACATTAGCTTCGTAGACTTTATTAACAATGACGTTTCCTAATTCCGCCATTACTTTTAATATTTCCGGTTCCCACGCATCCAACGTAAGTGACCTTACTTTGCTGTAATGAACACCCAAACTTCTATGAACTCCGGAACAATCTAAAATTATTTGCGTCATTCTTATTCCAATTTAAATTTTCAAAATGTAATTTCTTTTATACATTAATAATATCATCTTTAACTCAAATTATTACCTATGCATAATGTGATGCCCAAATTAATACTGGCCCACCTTGGACTGCTGTTTCCACAATCGCAGCAAAAGTCATTCCCTGGAATCTTCAGTAACTGTTCCCAAATTCTGAAATGTTAAAGAAAATGTAAGCACTGCTTACTTAAATTATTATTTTTATTATGTATTAATATAAGAGTAACAACACCTTGGTCTTTTTAATTTTTCAGAACCTTCGCTTTCTGATCTGGAGTGACTCGAAGTTGATGTGTCATCACCATCAGTTTCTCCCAATTCATTAGAATCTGTATCCATTCTAAGTGATTGAATTGCGGCACCTATACCTTTTTGTAAAGCGTTGATCCAAGCAGTGTACATTTCATTCGAGTCAGCTTGTAACATATGACATTTTGAAGGAGACAAAACTTCAAAACAAAACCTCCTTTCGCAATCCACAGCAGGTTTTACAGTACACAATCGCAGATCTTCTTCCATAACTGTGACTGCTTCTTCTCCTAAAAAATTACAATTATGATAAGTTTTTTAAGATAAGTGTATCGAATATTATTTAAAAAACTTTAAAATTATACCTGATCTTTTTCTGTAGACAAGTTGGTTATCTTGCAATACAAACCATCTTCTATGCCAAGTTTTGAAAGCATTAGATGTTCTTTTAAATAAATATCCTTCCATCACTGGAGATTTTCCAGATAGATTTTCAGTTACATCAATATCACAGTTGTTAACATAGGAATGCCTGTTTTCCATTTCTTTTTCAAGTTTTGTAGTCTCTGATGACATCTTATTTAAATCATCTCCTAATTTTTTAAAAAAAAGTTCTAAATCTTCACATAAATCAGATCCTTGATGAAAAAATGTACTGCATGCTTGCATATAACTCAACAACTAAAAAATGAAAAAAAAAAAAAAAACATTTAATATTATACACTTTTTTTCTGTTCGAAAAAAAAAAAAAACTAAAGTAAAATAAAATAAAGAATGGAAACCCATCAGACAAAAAACAATTAAAAATTTAATTTAAATAGAATATAAAAATTACTTACTGTTCCTAATATTTCATGGCGTTTTTTTGTTTGAATAACACTAACAGTGTATACATGATCTAAAGTGGTATGCCTAAAACATGACCTAGTAGCACTTAACAAATTTTGAGCTTCTTCCATTTCATTAGGCTTAGATTTAGTAGCTTGCGAGTTTCTAGACAATGCAGAATCAAACAAACTTGAAATTTTTTCAAATTCCGCATGCGACTCTTTTACTTTTTTAATATCGCTAAATTTCAAAAAAAAAACAATAATGTGATTTCGTTTTAATATAAATAATGTTAAAAATAATGTTTAGTAAAAAACTTACTTTTTAATAAATGATGTTAAGTTTCTAGTTATGATTCTATTCGCTTGATCTAAAAGAATGGTTTGAAATTTATTCATTTCTTGAAGAGAATGTATTAATTTGTTTAGGTAAGATACTATTTCTACATCCTCTTTAAAATAAGAGCTCAAATCCCAAAGACTATTTGTAAATAGATTTTGGTGAATCACATAAGTTTTCCCCATTTCTAACATCAAACCACATGCTTTTAACACCTGATGAAAAAATTTAGTGCAATTAAAAATTTAATGAGTGCAAACGTACAAAAGAACAAGATTGTTTAGTTTTTAAATTATTTTTTTTTTTACAAAATTAACTTAAACGCATAAAATAAATGTTATGTTTAATATACCTTGTCCAATCTTTGTTCCAGTAAATCTATATTAGCTTCTTCAGCTTCCAAGACGGCGCTATAAGAAATAAAATGTTTTTTTAAAACCTAATGATAGAATTTTTAGGTGACACATTAAAATTAATTCTCACCGAAATTTAGGTGAATCGCGAAGGCATTCTTGAAATTCAATTATTGGCTTCATTTGATCAAATTTAAATACAAACCGTAAAAAATATAAAAAAATAAGACAACAATATGCTTAATTATTTGACATATTATTTATTATTGAGTCATTAAACGTCAACAAATGATAATTAACTTAATGGTGTTTTTAAATGAAAGACTATTATTAGACATGTTTTTAAATATGCAAATACTTTATTTTTTTTTCCAATGAAATTGAAAATCTCATTATTTTATGTATTTTTTTTCTTTTTTTTTATTTTACATTAGCTAATATTAGTTACACTACTACACTGTAAAAACTTTCATCCATTCAAACCCCTTCACATTGCTGCTATGTTTAAAGTTGGCAATTCTTATTATTATTATTATTTTTGTTATGGATAATGTTTTTACCAGGCGCTGTAACTTTTAACGGACATCTATTATTTTTAATAAGCTATTTATTATTAATACATGATTATTGAATAAGAAAAAACCCTGAAATCGGTCACCGACTTTTTATAGAATTAAATATTAAAACTTATTTTACCACTACAGTTTATTATATTGGTATTTTCATTAGTTACTTTTTATCCTTGTGTAAAATTTAACGGTTATCGTCAGTTTGACATTGACATGTGTCAAGAATTGACTTGTTACATTTACTGTTTTCGTTTTTTTATTTTAATTGCAAATTGATAATTTTTGCAAAAATTTTAGGTTTTTTTTTATTATTAAGAAATGTCGTGGGAATCTTCTTTACTTGCAATACTTGATGAATTAAGACAATCAATTTTACTTTTACAAAATGATTGCACTGAGGGTCTGTATTTATACACTATCCACTATTACTCATTAAACGTGTAATTTTTTTCTAAATTCAAGTAAATTTTATTGTAAAATCGAGGAAATTTAAACATAAACCTAAAAATGAAGAATTTTATTTTAGAATTTTTAACGTTTGTTACCCACCAAGAGCAATGCCGCCAAAAATGGCAAGAATCAGTTTTAGAATGTCAGAGATTAAAAACAGATTTGGATTTACGTAATGTAAGATTACGTGATTATGAGAAAAAGCTCAACAGAGCAAGATGTTTACTAGACAGTGAAAAAAGAAAAAGAATAAAAGCTGAAAGAGAAAGGGATGAATTGGTAAACTTATTGGCACAATTTAAAAATCAAAATTTACTCCATCATTATACTTAATGTCTTATCTAATATACATTAATTTTAGCAAGAACAAGTTACTCAAATAGAAGAAATATTATCATCTGTTAGACATGCTGGTGATAAATTAGCTAATGAAACTAAAGAAAAACTTGACAAATTTTTAAATACAACTTATTCTAAATTAAAAACAAATACAAATGTATTGGGATATCATTTAGATACAATAGATGAAATAAATAGTACAGGTAAAATTAAATTTACAATTATTTTTTAACTTTTATAAATTTTTTTCCTTCCTTTTTTTATTTATGCTGTTTAATTTTACATGCTAAATTTATTATTTATTATGTAGGTCTAATGTACAAAAAATAATTTTCTAATTTCAGCCCTATTTGTTCAGTATTGTTGCACACTAATACAAATTACTTATTGATTTATTGTTTGTTATGTAAAATTTTATAATTAAAATGGAAAAAAAAAACATTAAATTTATAGAAAAGTAATTGCAATTAGTTTCATGGTTACTTATTTATTACTGGTTTTAATTAAAGGAAATTTTTTACATTATTAGATATTTAGTGTTTAATTAATTTAAAATAAGATATCTTTTACTGCTAAATTAATGAATACTATGTTTACATATACTAAAATATTATTTTGTTAGAATTAATAACATAATATTAGTCATAAGTTAATAAAAAATTATTAAAAGTTTTATTAGTAATTAAGAATAATTATTTAATAATATATTTTTTATGACTTACAATTTTTCGCTGGTATACAGGTTCACTTTTGTCCGATCTTAGTTACACCAAATCAGATGATTTTGTTGAATGTGACACAGGTTCCGATAGAGGTATCCCTAAAAAACCTTTAAGATCAACTTCTCCTGATATAAACGAGTTTCAAATAAACAAAAGACGAAAATCCTCATGGGCTCAAAATAAGGTAAAACTTAAAACATTTATTTTATTAATAAAAATAAAAGAATTTATGGTTTATTATTATTTTTTTTTTTTTTATTTAAAAAATTATTTTAGATAAAGAAAATAGAAAAAATATCATCGGATCAGGTAATTGCAAGAACAACTCTAACATTGTCTAAACAAGGACCGATAATAGCAAGTTCCACAATAGAAACGTTTCCAGATGATTTTCCTCAAGATACCAAACCCTCGGCTCCTCCCAAACTATCTTCGGACACGGACAGTGACGTCACGGAAGCAATAAATTGTTTTCATCATAATTCAAGTCCTATTTATTCGAAAAATAAATTATTTAATCGACCACACTCTTTTCGAAATAAAACTAATTTGAAACCTACGGAAGAATGCGGAGTCTGCATTAAAAAGTATTAAAAGATAAATTATGTGCCGCCCGCAACGTAATGACGTCATAATAAATCGTATTATTTTTTTTTCCTTTTAGAATTATGTTCGGGAATAAAATGTTTTACTGTTCGGACTGTAAAGTTATGGTACATCCAGAATGTAAAGACAAAGCTCCGATGCCTTGTTTGGCTGTTGTTGCGACTCCCAGAGGAACTTCCGGCACTACAATTGCCGATTTTTGCAGCAGAACACCTCCAATGGTTCCTCCGTTAATCGTTCACTGCGTGTTTGAAGTAGAAGCCAGAGGATTGGGTGAAGTTGGTATCTACAGAATTCCAGGATCGGAAAAAGACGTTCGCGCTTTAAAAGTACGTGAAATATTCTTGCTTTTGACCCATCGATTTATAATTTTCTACAATCTTGTAAATTTTCAAATTCAGGATCGATTTCTTCGTGGCAAAGGAATTTGTTCACTTTCTGGTTACGACATTCACGTTGTTTGCGGCACGATCAAAGATTTTCTCAGGAGTTTAGGCGAACCACTCGTTACTTTTTCCTTATGGCCTGAATTTATTCGTGCAAGTGAAAATGAAGATGTGTCCGAAAGAACGTCGGCTTTGTATCAAGCTGTTTCTCAACTGCCTCAACCCAATCGAGATACTTTGGCTTTTATGATGCAACATCTTCAAAAGTAAATAACTTTAAAGTGCAACCATTGTTGTGAAAGTGTACAATTTAATATTTTTTTCTTTCTTTAAAGAGTCTCTCAAAGTCCTGATTGTAAAATGTCAAAAAGTAATCTTGCAAAAGTATTTGGACCGACCATCGTGGGCTACTCCAGAATCGAACCTGTAAGAAATGAGATGTATGTTGAAACAGCTCAACAGACGCAGGTGAGAAAATTTATTTCTCCTGGATAAATTTTTAGTTGTGGTATTTTATATAATTTTAAATTCGAATTCCAGGTTATCGAATGTTTGCTGGACATGCCCGGGGAATATTGGTATAATTTTGTAAACAATGAACCCGATGAAAACATTCAGCCATCGACACCAGTATTATCACTGTAAGAAAAATAAAAAAAATTATTAATTAAATTTAATACAACAACAAAAAACAATTAAAATTCGTTTTTTTTTTTTTTTTGTTTAAATTTTCAGGAATTATCGTCGATTAAATCGTAATAAAAATAGAAAAGTTTTCAATACTCCTCCAGTTACGAAATGAAAATTCCAACGACGAAAGAATTTCTTCATTTCTATAAAAAAAAAAAAAAACTTTTTTTAAACATTTTCTACGTAAAAATATAAAAAATTTTAAAAAAAAAAAGAACAAAAATTTATTTTAATACATAATTAGAAATAAGTTTTTTTAAAAAAATTTTTTTTTGTTTTATTTAATAACTTTAAATTTAAAAACTATCAAATTTTTCTAATAATTTATACAAAACTATCTTAAATAAGTTAATGAAAGATAAAAGAAAATTTAAATTTTATCCAAGTAATAAGCACGAAATAATTATTTAATTGATTAATTATTAAATCAATCAATTATTTAAATTTTAATTATGTTTGTTTTAAATTTATTAAAGACGCCAACATATAGTTATGTACATAGTTGTGTAAAATGTATTTATGTAATAAAATATTTAAAAAAATACAAATTTATTTTGTAAAACTTATATATATATATAAACTATTTTTTTTTTTTTTTTAAACAAAATATTCTTTTTATTTATAAAAAATGTGTGTGAGAAAAAAAAAATAAAATTCCGGGACGTTGTCCTATAAATATGTCTTAATTAAAACCAATCAAAGAGTTTTATACATTCTGGAAAATTCTCAATTTATTTTTTTAAGGTTTTTTGATTATTATAGCAGAATAAAGTGTGTTAAGCTGGTTTTTTTTAATTATTTTTATTCAGGCACTAAAGCACAGCAATCAATTTATTTAATTATCTTCTTCTTCTTCTTCTTAATTTTTTTTTTAAAAGAAATGTTGTAGTTATAAAATAAATAAAAAATACAGTCACATTTTTTTTTTTTTTTTTTTTTATACTCATATTTTTAATATGTCTAAACTGTCAAAAAATATAAGCGTTTAAAAAATACAAAATATCTAAATTATTTCAAAAAAAGATCTGAGTTATTTTATCCATATATATATATATATATAAATATATATATAGTATTCACACAATGTTCATCATTATTATTATTAATATAAGTACACAATTTTCCTTCTTTTTTTCCTTTTTTTCTGCTCAATATTTAAATCGATAATAATAATTTTACATCCTCCTTCATTCGACTTTTTGCTGACAATAAAGTTCTTTTAATGATTTGAGTTCTTCTATTAAAGCTTTATTTTGATTTTCCAGTACTGCGACTCTATTTTCTAAACATTTTATATATTCTTTTTTTTTCCTTCTGCATTCCCGTGCAGCTTCCCTATCATTTTAACACAAAAAAATAATTTTTTTTTAAAAGATTCTTTTTACTTATGAAACAAACGCACAAACAAATCAATTTACCTGTTTTTCATTAGCCTAAGTTCCCTTTTCCTTGCTTGGTCCTCGGCTATAACTGGTCCTCCTGTAAAAAAAAAAAAAAAAAAAATGAAAAATCTCAACCCCTTCACATTCCCAAAAAACTATTTTCCAATTTTAACTTTGACTTTTTTTTAGATTTCATTAACATCTTTTTTTTTTTTTTTTTTTTTGTTTTTAATTCAAGTTGTTATTTACTTATTGACTTTAATGAAAAAAAAAAAAAAGAAAAGAAAAGAAAGAAAGAAATCAAAGCGTACCGGGCACAAAAAATTGACCGTCACTTCCTTGATATTGTACTATTGTGTTTCCTCCAGCACTATTATTTAAACTTAATGCATGAAGACCTCCGTCTCCTTGACTACCTAACTGTATGGCACTGGCAGGTATCACTAATTTACAAAAAATTTTTTTTCATCAGGCAAACATGTTTTTTGCTTTCGGACAAAAGTATCAGAAAAACATAAAACACCCTATTTGTTTTTCGACTTAATAAATACATTATTTATAACTAAACTATTACTAACCAGCAATCTCTCCACCTCCTAAATCGTTTAGAATTTTTCTATAACTAGGTCTCCTCGTTAGTATATCCCTTCTTTTTTTCGATGATGTTTCATCTATTTCATCGTTTGATAATGAATCTTCGCTAGTTTCTACAACCTACAATAAAAAAAATTACATTTTTTTATTAATGGAAAACCTAAAGTGTTAAGGTTTCTCTCTCTCTCTCTCTCTCTCACACTTTTTATATCAATAATAATAATAATAATAAGTAAGGTAAATAACAAAAATGAATGACGCACATAATCTACCTCTATAGCTTGTAAGCTGCCTGGTGTTGTTTGAATCACAGAATTTGCCTTTCCTGAAACTAAAATTACATTACTTTTGGTTGATAATTGTACTGGTTGAACGTTTGTTGCTGTTTGTATAACTGATTGCTGATTGGGTTGAATAACTGATTGTACCTGAAAAAGAAAACAAAAATCAATTTTGTTCGACAACAAACAACAAAAAAAAAACATAAAATTATGGAGTTGGCAGGGTAGGGGGCTAACAAAAAGCTCAAATTGAATTTCTTTTCAAAAGAAAATTAAAAAGATTTTCCAGAATTTTCACAAATTTTCCTTTTTTTACTTTTCCTGGTGTCATCTTGATGCTTATTTACATAACCCCAGGCAAAAAAAATAAATAAATTTAATCCTGAGTGTTTACATTAATGACAAAAGTAATTAAATAAAATAATGATAATAATGTTTAAATATTAACTGTCACTTTTACAACAACAACAATTATTATTATTATTATTATTATTATTATCCCCTTTTACGTTTTATAACGTTCGACTTATTCTATTATATAATTTATTTAAAAAATTAATACTAATGATAATACAAAACAAGTGATAATAATAAATCCATATTTAATTAATTAATTAAATGAGATTTTCATCCATTTTTAAAAAAAAACCGTTAATAACATTTTTTATAAATACAATTTTTAATATATTATAATATATAAGATTTCATTTACTGTAAATAACTACATTTTTTTTTTTTAATTTATTAAATTTTAAATGTACTTTTAAGATAATTTTAAAACATTTTGAAATTAATTTCAAATTTAAATTTTTTTTTATAACAATCGTTATCAAGATTTTTGCAAAAATTTTTTGTTACACATTTTCAACTATTATTAAATAAAATGCTTTTGAACATTTTACCCCCAAAAAAAAAAACAAACTAAATGATTTTTGACTTAAATTTATGTTTCAAATATTATTGATGTCGATAATTAATTTATCATTTACATTATTTATATTGCCCATAAAGTAAAACTTACCTAAATAAATTTTTCATCGGAAAAAAAAAAAAAAAATTTTATACTATTATTAATAATCATTCCCTAAATTAACCTGTAATCTTTTTTTTTGTTCACAATCATTTAAAAAAAAAAAAAAATATTAAAAACTTCTTTCAACTT